AAGCTGACACCAGAATCCCGTATCATGGAACGGCGGCATCACAGGCATGTCTCCACGCTCCGCCACCCTTTCTGCTCCCCAGACTACCACTCGGCTCGCTTCGCGCGCAGATTTCTTTTTTCACCCACGCCGGTATTTTTCTCCTTTTTCCCCCAATGGGGAGCCTGGTCCCAGGCTATACTGATAGTATTTAAGATTTTTTTCTTGTTTGCGTTTATTTGTGTTCTATTTATTGAACTAAGTTTTAAATGTAGTTTTACGGTTTCTTTCTTTTTCAGTCTTGGCATTAATTTGTTAGATGTATTCAGTTTAATTAATAAACGTGACACGATGATCCAGTAACTTGAGTTCAGGCCATTCTGATTTTCCTCTCAGGATCATTTGCGGTCGACAATGGGGGTCAATTGAGGTCCATTTTGGGGATCATTTGCGGTCTGGGGATCATTTACAGTCGAGGATCACTTGCGGTCTGTAAAATTCCCATACGGTGTAGAGTTTACACCCAGGTAGCACGGGTTCGACAATTGGTATGGGAAAAAGGTAAATTTTAAATTAATCAAAGTTGAAAACCTGTTCAGGTTTTGCTATAGTTTTATTGTTTTCATTTATTTACTTTAAAAGTACGGAACCATATTTAGAGGAAAACTTTTCATGTGGAAGATTTTGTTCCTACACCATGATTTTGATTGTATTTAGTTTATTAAATATTGGTATCAAAGTTGACCGCATAAAAAGTGACAAATATCTGGCTTTAAGACTTTAAAAAATTCTACTGTCCAGTTCAAAAAATTCGAATTCATCATTAGATACCAAATCCTTGGGTAAAGTGAAAATAATCCTTGCCGCACTAAAATAATGTTGATAAACTATCCTTTTTACTTATAAAGAAAAATTAAGCGGCTGAAGCATTTTCTAAGGGAGCCAACTCTGCTGTTGCGTTCTGAACGACTGGCAGACGATTCAATTGATCAAGTTCCAGTGTGCGCTCGATTCCTTTACCTCTTCGACTATTTTCCGTTTGCGGCCACAACTCAGACATTTTATGTTTACAGTATAATGAGAAATGAGAATGAACTAAGCACCGTTTCACATACATTCGGTTCTTGTACGTAAATACCGACTCTTTTCCGGAGTACAAGGGTGAAGCTGGGCATGGAAAATTTGCTTTTTTGTTAAAGAACTCATTGAAAACGTTGTTCTAGTTTTTTTTTTTTTACTCCTGTCAGAACTGACTATCCCATTTGTTATAAACGCTTAAGGGCGTTTTAATGTTCCAGTTCAAAGAACACTACCGAATGAAGACTTTGATCAAACAGTTCGGCACAATCCTTGCTTCTGATACAAAGCTGGTACGAGCCTTCGTTAGGAATAGGTCTCTGAAAATTTTGGCCTCCGCCAGCCATAGGCCCTTCAATGAAATGGACCGCACCTAACTCTTCTAAAAATCGTGGAGAGCGCGAGCCACGGCGGAAATGTCTAACTACCTCTTCCCAATTCTCCCTCTCGTTAGCTCCCTGCAGATTCAAACCACGTCGACGTCTTAATCTATTGCTTGGCACTTGAAACACGAGTACTGCGGAACAAAGGGGTCTGTTGCGCGCCCAAATCGCACTTGACGCCTCATTAAAGTCATTGCAAAGATAAAACCCACCGCCATCACTGAAGTCCTTCTTCTTTCCCCCTCTGTTCAAGTCGATACCGTGATTTACTATATCTTCAGCACTTACGTGGCTTGTCCCATGAAAAAAAAGTTCGTAATCGCCTCCTGACAGTGACTGGAAATTATCAACGCCATGGTCAGAAAGGTAACTCCTGCCTCTCCTGCGTATTCCAGACTCCCTAATACATGTAACATTAATGACCCGGACAGCCTCGCGACCTCGTCTGCGCGTAAAAGGAAAGGTAAACCATTCATTTCTAATTTCCCTTTGGAAAGGAAATAGGGTAGATTGGATGAGTTCTACAACAGCTTTCAAGTAGTCCTTGATCCTCTTCCATGCTATTCTTCCCAAAAGTGCTCGTAGAGTCATCTCTAATACTGGTTGACACTCACTCGTATACACATCGGTCGGCAAAAACACACCATAAATCGCGCGTGCAAAAATTCGGATTAATCAGCACTCTTCCTTAACGCATGGCCCTCGCTTATCATGACCTCTGTTCTCTGAAATCCTACTTAAGTTATTTTAGTTTAATTTAGTCAGGAACCACATTTCGCGCACATCCAGCCCAGTAATAAGAGAGCCTCAACTCATTTTCAGCTGCATTTCACTGTTTCCAAAATCACTTCTTACCACATTGTCTACTTAATCATTTAAAAGCTCTTTTATGTTCCCTTATCATTTATTTAGACAGTTGAAATGGCCCTAATTCGTAAAAGAAAACAATTTAAGTTTACTAAGGGTGTAGAAACTAAAACAGTTGATCACTGATCAGTCTGATCAGAAATAAAAATTAAATGAAAAACAAAAAGTCACAAATATGTCCAAAATATACATATAAGTTGGACCTTGGTTTTCTCATAATAGACAGAATTATGATTTCCATTATAACTTCATATTTGAAAGAACTGCTTGCATTTAGGTAGAGATTAGGGCTTGGGCACAGTTGGTGAAGTCTACAACAGAAGAAAGAAATCTTATCAGGGTCCATTTCTTCCAGAAATCCAATCTGCATGCAGGAATTCTTTTTGACTGAAAGTTAAAAAGTGAATAACCGCCTAACAATTTTACTTGTTAGACAGATTCGTTTGGTTAATCATCGGTAGTGAATTTCCACCTGTTTCCGCAATTTACTTATTTTGATCACCACAAAATTAAAGAATCAATTGAATTTACAACATAGCCAGAATATTCACCCTATCAGTTTCAACAGCGCGAGCTGGCTTCATAATACCACAAGCTGAGTACGCTAATGACGTTAACAACCGAAAAACCTTGATTTTTTGTGAGTTAAGCAATCCTCCTACGTGCGTCTATAATTCAATACTACACGATAAAGCGTTTACATAGTGTTTTATAATGCAAACTACAGAGAAAGTGAGTTGAGTGTCGTTGTTATCTGCGCGAGCTATAACGCGTGCGAAGTTTTTTTGTTTAGAATGAATGCTACCTTAAGCGATTCTGTAAAACTTTTTCTCAGCTTGAAGATAAAAGCATTTGTAAACATAATTTTCAGTTAAAAACATCAAATTGTCACCATGGATAATAATTTTCTATGTAGCAACGAGACATTGTCGCATACTATTATTAGCGTGCGCAATGGAAGATGACTACCGCATCGATCGCATTCAAAATGTTATAAAACAATTGGTTCATGCTTCAGCTGTACAAATGTCGAGATATGAAGCACTTGGGAAGTTTGGAGAGCACTCCAGTGGCTAGAGTTGTCCTCGGCTAATGTTACGCCTTTTTCGTGCTCCGCCAAACGTCTCGCGTGCTTCACACCTCGACATACGCACACTGTTGATTATGCATATACATTTTAACCAAGAAGAGGGGTTTAACCAGATGATGAAGAAAGGAGGACACTAAATTTAAATTGTCGAGCTAAAAGAGCCCTTCTTAAGGAAGACATTGCAAAGACCATCTTTTTTTACCACAATAGAAAAGACTGGTTTTCTCAGTAATTAAAACTGATTGTATCGGAAGATACTTTAATTGGCAGTTCAAAAACAAAAAAATATTTTAAAAAAGGACACGACCCAAGAGATATCCCATGCAAAGTTAATTAAAATAACAAAAATCAGTTGTGATGATTCTAATCATCATTATTATCCTAATACTATTATGTTGGGAGCTACTTGAAAACGCACAATCACACTGACATTGCACAATCCCAATTTGATCAGATCATAAACAAAAATATTTTAAAAAGAGACACGTCCGAAGAGATATCCTATGCAAAGTTAATTAAAATCACAAAAAGAAGAAATTAGTTGTGATCATTGTAATCATTATCATTATCCGAAAAATATCATGTTAGAAGTTACCTGACCGTGTACAATCACAATTTGACCAATTACGAGATGCCTCCCGATCAGCTCCAACACTCCCCCCAATTTCTATTGGTCAGTAAGTTCAAAATGATAGAAATGCCCCTAAACGTTGTGCAAGGTCACGTCCAAAAACCTAAAAAAAAACATATATTAAACGACTTTGATGACTATGGTAACGAAACTGAACAAATCCCTTCACGAGAAAACTATGTCGCAAAGAAAAGAGACATATCTGGAAAAAGAAAGAAAGGCAAACTTTCAAAGCGAGACACATCGTTTGTGTTCTTTGCTTGGATTGAAGTTTGATTTCCTTGACTGCCTTGAAAAAATGCCACAAGAACACCGAAACCACCGCGAAGAAAGGGAATGGATACAAATCCTTTTGGAAGAGAAAAGTGAATCTCTTTCCCCAGCGGACAAAACAGTTCTCTCTAAAGAACTGCTTCAATCTCTTGGCTTCGATCCTTCAAGTAAAGCCATCAAAACTATACTGGAACGCTCCCTCCGAGAAAGCAAGCAACAGCATATTGAAGCATGCGAGTGGACACAAATATTTATTGATGACGAATTCAAGTATAATCCTGAGTTGTGTCCGGGAACTAATACATTTCCTTTTCTGTTTCAAAGTACTTGCACAAATGAATGGGTATCGTTGCCGACGATCAGTAAAGAAGAGATTGAAAGTAACATTGACTTATCTCAAGTCAAGATCATGAACCTCGTGACTGAGGAATCCAAGGCTTGTAATACAGCTCAGAATAACCTCAGTGCCTTGTTGCCAAAAAGCAATCAAAACATTTTCCTTTACCATGGCACGGACCATGAAAGCGCCCGACAAATTTTACTTCGGGGAATATATTTGGGTGCTGGGCGACAGAAACGAGATTTTAGCTGTGGAAAGGGTTTTTACTTAACCAAAGGAATAGAGGATGCCTTCAACTGGGCAAAAAGTACAACAGCAAAGCCAGCCATTTTAATTTTTGCAGCCGACCGACATTATTTCAGTAACTCTCGGAGACTCAGTCTGAACGAAAGAGAAGGAAAATGGCGAGAAATAGTATCTTCATTCAGAACAGCATCGCGAACAGCAACAACGCAGGAGAGTTTAAAATCGTATGACCTAATTGAGGGACCAAAGGCGAGGGTAACGACGGACGAAACCTCAGGCAAGCTGGTGTTCGAGCCAAAACCCTCATCCTACCAAATGTGTCTAATTTCAGACGACTTCGCAGAAAGTTTTGAAAAGAATCTTCACTCGATTTTCTTCTTTGACATCTCTTAAGACACGCCCATCTAACTGCTGGGCAATCATGGAAGACTTATTTCTGTGGCACATTTCATTTTTCCACCAATACCAAACCAATAGGTTTGTTTCACCATCTCATATAAAAGCCACACCCAGCTCACAATCAACAATGAAGGGCTAGCCCTCAAAAACGTCAGCTTCACAATCCGCGATGGTGAATTGACTTGACCAAATCACATTTTTGTGTTTTACTTCCTCACTAATGCAAAACCACAGTTTATTTTAAAACAACCTCTTTATTATTACTATTTTTTTATGTTTCCTTGGTGCACTTTCGAAAATTTTTATCCTTAGGAGGAACAAGGTAAAGGATGATAAATAGTCGGCGAGAACAAAGCGGAAGTGGTGGCGATGTTTTGTTCGGTGTGCGAGCACGAGAGTGAGTAGGGATAACCACTAAGGATTTCTCCACAATCAGACACCACCAAAGCTGGTCTGAACACAGTTGACCACCAAGAGAAAAGCCCCAAAGTCGTGCTATTAGGATTGAAATCCACCAATCACCAACAGCAACGTTACTAATCAAAATAAAAGTCAGCAACTAGACACCATACCCTGATAAAACCCGCCGTGGTATAAAAGACTAACCTTACTCTGGGAATAGCCTTAAAACACTAACGATTTTTCTCTTTTTAGAATACTGACCAGCCTTTTTTTTTAAAACGGTGGCATTAGCAACCAAAGTTTTAGACGCGTAAATATTTGAAGACGAAATTCTAGACGGGCATTCGTCGGAAGGTAATAGTCTAGCTTGCTTTGTATTTTGGCACGGGAAAGCTGTTCACAGGTTTATCAGGTTTATACCAACTAAGCAATTCTCACGGGAGAATCGAACGGATATTCCTGATTATGCTACGTATTCCTATACCTAAATGAGGTCAATAAACCTTCTTTCTCAATTGCTTCGCATTTAGCCTAGCTTTGAAACAGAGGGTTGGGGTTACCGTTAGAAATGGCCTATTTCGCACTATTGGTCATTTCCAATTTTGATCAGTTTGGCTGTCTTTAATAGTATTTTAATAGTCTTTTTAGTATTTACACAGGGAGCCCGAACGCTGTATTAGCTAATAGAAAAAATTAGATGTATTTATGCTGTATTAGCTAATAAAATAATAAGATGCATTTTCCTTTGTTCCTGTGTCTTTATGAGTAGCCTGAGTATCAGGCCTTCCTGAGGGGCTACGGGAGAGGAGATTTTAGACAGGGGAGGGGGAAGGGGGAGAAGAGAAAGGAAGGCCTGACACAAAACCATTCAGCAAATCGTGTGACACATCCAAAATCTGGATGTGGCAGTCATTGGATAACACACAATACTCCCTAACGTCACCGACCGCAAGTAAATACGACCAGAGCGATCGGCAAAGAGAAGCCATTGAAATTTTTCATAGATGTTTTGATTTCATGTGGTACTTTTATGGGCAGAGACGCAGAGAGGAATTCACTAAGGCTCTAGAGGGCGCTTTCAAGTTCTTTCCTGGGATAAAAATAAAACCCGAACAAGAATTGTGTTTTGAAAGCCTCGTAATTAAAAGGAAAAATGTTCTCGGAGTATGTAAAAGCCTCATATACCAGCTTCTGCCGAAACTATGTCCGAGTATTGGTTTCACAAGACAGGGATAAAGGAGACGATATCAGAGCTTCAGATAGCTAAGTTCTGATTTACAACATCCAGCCGTTGAAAGGGTATTGTTATTGTAAGAGCGAGGTAGCCACGTAAGGAGAACAACCGACAGCACCAAGGGTAGCTTTAGCTTGACTTTGTGACTTTGCTGGTGGCGGTTACGATGATTACGATAGCGTACGTGATTGGAATTCGTTCGCTTCCTCTTTCAAATTTTTTTTCACTTTTGAAATGTCTTAAGCTCAAGCGGGCTCAAGCCATCATATTTCGCCAACAGGATTGACCTTTGCCGCAGGCTCTCACTTCTTTCTTAACTCTCTCTCTCTCTCTTTTTCGCTTCTATCTTTCCCCTTTTCCCCCCAGAAACGCCTGATACTCAGGCTACTTTATGAGTCGTTTTGGAAGGGATTTGAATCCGATCAGAGACGGTTAACATTGCTAGTTATCAAATGTGTTTGCTAGTCCGAGTCTGGCGCGTCTTAAATAAGACGCTCAAGTTTCGTCTCGCGTTTCTAATATTGTTTACTATTAACTTTCCTCTAACGGCCACTAGAAGAGAAGCCACCAGTGCACCGGTAATATACACTCTGTGTAATATGTAGTATTGTGTCTTCTCCCTAATAGCTAGTGGTAGTTACTAGTAGTTAGTGGTAGTTAATAGTAGTTACTGGTAGTTACTAGTAGTTGTCGGTAGTTACTAGTAGTTACTAGTAGTTCTTGGTATTTACTAGTAGTTAGTGGTAGTTATTAGAAGTTACTGGGTAGTTACCAGTAGTTACTGGTAGTTACTAGTAGTTGTCGGTAGTTACTAGTACTTACTAGTAGTTAATAGTAGTTCTTGGTATTTACTAGTAGTTAGTGGTAGTTATTAGTAGTTACTGGCATTTACGTAACTACCACCAACTACTAGTAACTACCAGTAACTACTAGTAACTACCATCAACTGCTAGTAACTACTAGTAACTACCGACAACTACTAGTAACTACCAGTAACTACTAGTAAATACCAGTAACTACTAATAACTACCACTAACTACTAGTAAATACCAAGAACTACTAAGAACTACTAGTAACTACCGACAACTACTAGTAACTACCCAGTAACTTCTAATAACTACCACTAACTACTAGTAAATACCAAGAACTACTATTAACTACTAGTAACTACTAGTAACTACCGACAACTACTAGTAACTACCACTAACTACTAGTAAATACCAAGAACTACTATTAACTACTAGTAACTACTAGTAACTACTGACAACTACTAGTAACTACCAGTAACTATTAATAACTACCACTAACTACTAGTAAATACCAAGAACTACTATTAACTACTAGTAACTACCGACAACTTCTAGTAACTACCGAGAACTACCATTAACTACCAGTAACTACTAGTAACTACTATTAATTACCGATAACTACTAGGAACTACTAGTAACTACCAACAACTACCAGTAACTACCAGCAACTACTAGTAACTACCAGTAACTACTAGTAAATACCAAAAACTACCATCAACTACTAGTAACTACTAGTAACTACCAGTAACTACTAGTAACTACCGACGACTACTAGTAACTACCAGTAACTGCTAGTAACTACCGATAACTACTAGCAACCACCAGTAACTACTAGTAAATACCAGTAACTACTAATAACCACCACTAACTACTAGTAAATACCAAGAACTACTATTAACTACTAGTAACTACTAGTAACTACCATGAACTATACTAGTAACTACTAGTAACTACCGACAACTACTAGTAACTACCAGTAACTACTAGTAACAACCGATAATTACTAGCAACTACCAGTAACTACTGTAGTTTCTAGTGGTTACTAGTAGTTGGTGGTAGTTGTTGGTAGTTACTAGTAGTTACTGGGGTTTATTGGTGTTGAAGTAGAGCAAGAGACGGGTGCACCCTCCCCTAAAAAAATCCTGGATCCGCCCCTGGGAATGGAAAGCTCCCTTGATCGTCTTATTTACGATGCGCCAGACAAGCCACCAGCAATGTTAACCGTCTCTGATCGGATTCAAATCCCTTCCAGAACGACTCATAAAGACAGAGGAACAAAGGAAAATGCATCTTATTATTTTATTAGCTAATACAGCATAAATACATCTAAGTTTTTCAATTAGCTAATACAGCGTTCGGGCTCCCTGTGGCAATACCAGACATTTTGACACTAACTTAAATATATTCTGAAGCGCAGGAATACGTGCATGATAAAATGAGAACATGAATATCATATTTCAAAAAAGAACGTAGAGAAAAAAGTCTTGGAAAGAAACAAAGATACAGGTACAATCTGGGCACAGAAAAGTGATAGTTGCATCAACGGTCAAAAAGGAAAAGCAAAATTCTATTTTTTCACTGTATTAAAAAGTCATATTAACCGCAAAGTGGCATACTTGCCCCACCCCTGTGGATTGCCCGGGGGAATGGTAACAGGTAAATTGAACAACGAGTTTGTCACCCTTTTGCTTGATTAGTATTGCTTTTCAGTACTGAAGATTGATGAGCCGAAGATCTACGGCAAGTATGGTAAGTATAAGACTGATTTCTTGACGAAATATCAAATTTAGGTGGCAAACCACGCTTCTAAAACTCCCAAAAGATTTACGCGTTTGGGTGTATTTTTGTGACGTAACGTCGAATGGAAGACGGGATCTGATCTCTTGACACTTTTTATCTCAAAAAACATTTATCGCTTGTGTTTTTATAACGGTTGTACCATAGCAACTAAAAAATCTAAAATTACCTTAATGTAGTGTCCGCAGATTCTAGGACGATTTTGTGATTTTTTGCTCCTTTCAAAGCAGAAATTAGGTCAGAAATACTTATCTCAGAGTACTCTGGTTCATACAGCCTAAACCACTTTGTTTAGGACAAGAAAATATTTTCAGTTGCCTGTAGTTATTTACTAAGGAATTCATAGACGAATATCTAGGAGTAGTACCACTGTGCTTTTGAGAGGATTCAGACACTGCTGAATAGGAATTACAAGGTTTCATACATTTATTAATTCATTTTAGGAAAATCATTTTTAGCGATATGGATGTGTTAATTATAAGCTTAGAAATACTAGCACCACGTGAGCTACATTTTGAATACGAATTGAAATGGAGTTGTTAAGTAATGGCATGCGTAGCGTAGGAAAAGAAGGGAAGTAACTCGTCGGGAATGTCTGAGCTAAATGGTCCTGATCTGAACCGGTTTTACCATCCTTAATTTAGACCCTGGCTAACATGGTGATTTTTTTGCCCTTCCACGGTTTTTTCAACTTTTAACATGGACCAGTTGGAGAAATCTTTCGACACCACTGGAAACAGCGCCTTAAAATTAGTAAAATTGCCAAGTTTGAAAGTGCTACGTCTTAAGCGAGCGAAGTTATAGCTCCGGAAAGTTGCGAAAATGTACAGACGTTTGTTTGGTGGGGGGCAAGTTTGTGCCCCTACCATATCTACCATAGTCACCAATTAACGTTGTAAAACTTCCCGACTTTGACAAAAGAGCTTTATCTTCGTTCACTTTCAACAAATCACTTTAAAACTTGGCAGTACTTGTAATTTGAAGGCGCTCTTTCTAGCAGAGTTGACGGATTTTCCCCAAGTTGTTTACGTCAAAAGTAAAAAAAAACTGTGGAAAGGCCTATTAGATTAAGGACCATCAAATGGAATTTGATTTTGACACCCAGCAAGGCAATAGCTAAGGGCCACAATGACGGGTCTCTTCTGATACCTAGTATAGTTAAGATAACTGTTGTTTTTTTTAGCTTCAGTTCATTTTGTTGGTCTGTATCAGATGTAGACTTTGCTATTTGGTAAATGTAATTTATATAATTAATGGTGTGTAATCAGATGTAGACTTTTAACAGACCAGTGTTCTTGCACTATTTTTAACCCAGTCTCACTGTCTAACTGTCTAGTTCTGAATTTATGTTATTCTTATTGTATGGTTATTTCGCTGCAAAGCCTCTATGGGGAAGTGAAATAATGTGTATGGATGCGTGTGTCCTTTTTTAAATGAGAAGTAGATTTTCTTTAATATACCAACCAAGGTTTTTGCACACCAAATGTACAATACAGTAAATAATTAACTAGAAGTAATCATTGATTACGGGTCCGCTTTCGTCATTTCCGGAGACTAAATCGAGTCGAAAGGTGTCCAGTTTCCCGGGAATGTTTCCCGGATGTTGGATAAACTAGTTAAATATTGTCATGAAAAAGCCATCAATAGGTAAATCCCCCAACTCACAAAATGTGAATCAAAGAGAAATTCTCTCAGTTTCTTTTCGAATATATTCAAGCTGTCAAACGCACGTGTAATAGCGCTATTTGGAAAGGTACGTTGACAAGTGGCCGATTGCTAAACTGGATCATTATTTGGCAATTAACTATAAAGCCTTATGAGCGTTGGCGGTTTATCCAATTCGACTGGAAGAGGTTTTGGAACCCGTCCTCCGATTCGTAGTACAGACGGAAAGGAACGAAAATGACAAAGGCAACATAAGTATAATGGAAGTTAAACAAATTAAGATTCTGGGCTTTAAAACTACCCAGACAACTGAACTCCAATGAACTGTTTTCATAGTCACTTAATTGTATCCTGATGTACTCCCCTTGCTTTAAACGAAACAGAACGGAATATTGTGTTTAACAGTCATTGTCTGTTACAAACCAGAAGTTAACAAACTTACCTGGAGTTGCTTAATGGCTTGCAGAGCGTCAGACCTATTTTTGTACTCAACAAAACCATAGCCCATAGATAGCAAATTTCCTGGAAATTAAAAAAGGATATGGTTACAAATAATATACAAGGTAGGGATGGATAAGTCGGTTGGAGGTTTTCTCGGTTCTTTTCCCCCCACTAAATTCAGTGTTTTCAGCATTTCATCGTTTTTAGATTCCAATCCTACCAGGGTTTCGAGGGTCAAAGTTTGAACACTCTGTAGATCGTTAAGTGCCACTTTCGTGAAAGACTTTTAACGGAGAAAACACGGTAGTGAACAACAGCATATACTTAACAAACAAATCGGGATTTGGAAGTCTAATCCTTTTCTAACGTACCAGGCTTCTTGGGGTCCTTTTTCTTCGCTATTACTGTACTAAGAAGAGGACCCAACTTGCAGAATGCCTAGGAAATGAAAACCACACAAAAAATTAATTTTTGATATTTCTGTGACATAAGACCACAATTGGATATGTACAAAACAAATAACACTACCTTTTGCAATGCGTCTTCGGTGGTATTAAAGTTCAGATTTTTCACGAACACCGTTGTTCCCTTAGCGTTTTCTGGGCCATCCCCTTCGTCTTCTTGCTTATCCTCAACAGTTTGTTTACTCTGCATAAAAACGCAGGAAACGTTTGTTTCACAGCCTATCAGAATTTCCTAGTTGTCTATGTCTTTTCCCGGTGTGTACCCCCTCTCTATAAGCCATAAGGTACGTGCCGCCCCAAGGGGTGTGGTGTTTGTGCTGTTTTGTTCTGAAAATGGACACTGGCTTTTCCCATTTTGGTCTGGAATCGGGTATCGTTTTCCAGGGAACTAGGGGTTTGTATGAGCGTATTTATCCTTCCAATTCCAAATGAGTAACAAAGAAAGAGAAATATGCGAATAAAGAAATCGTTTTTGTTGGTTATCAACTTAAGTAATGATAACATAATTTCTTAAAGGCCACGTACGAAAATGGGTGTGAAAAATGATATTTTTTCGGTATTTGGTTAACTGGGCGGCACACCTTCACCAACAATTCCCAGAAGTACTCCCTACTGTCTTTTACAGGCTACAATTAGGCGTAGACTACTGGGCATCGCTCTACCCATTCGACCCGGTAAAAAAGCCGTTACTCCGGGGTTCTGCGGTAAGTAGAAGGCTGTCAGTGTGTAGATTTCATATATTATTTACGACTAGTATAGCCAAAGTCTACGTAATTGCTGCCAGCGGTCAGGTCTCCATTATTCTGATTATATTATTATTCATGATTATCGGAATGAGGAGTTCTACATGAATGTGTTGTTTGTGCAGACGACCACACAAGTTTGCAATGCAGTCATAACAGCTGTAGATTGGGAGGCGCCAGGATGCACGAATGTAAAAAGTCTGCGCAAAAGGAGTAAGCCAAAAAGTATAACTGAGCGGCTTTGCTCCATAAAAGAGAGTTTAGGATAGCACTGAGCGCGATCAAGCCATAGAGGAGCACAAAGGAGCTGAAAGCAGTATGTCAGCGCTGTTGGTTACACGATTCTGTGAGTAGCTTTACCTACTCCATGAATCGCAACGGCACATAACCATAAGTAAATACAGTAAAGAAACTTATCATGTTATAAAGTAATTTGGTAACCATACACTCTCCATTGGCGGATCCTGAGGAGAGGCTCGGGGCGGGGGCGGGGGGGGCTTATTTTTAGACCAAACCGAGGCCGAAGGGCCGAAAAAACATTTTTTGAATAAAAGATCAATCAAAATAGGTTATTTACGAACTTTCCTGATACTTAAGGATTGTAAAGAACACATGGCACGCGTCAAAAGTGGCGGGAAAACCTTGGTCACGAGGCACTTTTTTTCAAGACGCCATTGCTGCAAGTTGGCCACCGAATTCAGGTAAGCGATGAAAAAAAGGATCAATTTCGCGATCGGTTGCTGGAAACTGCCCACCTACCCCTCCCTTAAGCCAACATTAACACTAACTTTTCACGTAGAGCAAAATGCTGACTTAGGGGAGGGGTAGGTGGGCATTTTCCCAGTTTCCCAGAAACCTAAACTAATTTCATTCTTAACTTCGATGAAATTCGCTTGAGATACACCTCCTACATCGACACAGCCTTCAACTTTAGCGATCAATGTTTGGTTTCTAAGCATGGAAGAAAAAAAGGGTCAGAGATACTATTTCCAAGTCGTGCAATCTCATACAACGTTCAAACTATAAACGCTTAAACAAGTCCAAACGTTGTATATTAAGTTTAAGTAAGGTTTTAGCTTCTATCTGGAAAGTTTTTTTTGGTCTTTAACGACATAGACTACCCAGTTAAAAACAATTAATTTTATACCCTGTGTAACGTTTAGCGTTATGAAGTCGCTTCGAATGTTACAAGGCGTTTGGAAATGTTTATCAGTAAAACCTAGAAAGTAACATTGCTAGAGCAATTTTGTTCCTTACAAAACGTACCTTATCCTCGCCTATCTGTTCGTCTTTTTTTGCTTCTTGAAGGTCTTTCTCTTTTGCTTCACCGGAAAATACACCGAGTGGAGCCCATTCCAAGTACAATGGCACGTGTTTAAACTGTAAAGCCATAGGAAAAGTAATTATTAAATTACCCAATAGAGTAAGAATTAACACTAGTTTTTAAAGTCTACATATAAAAATAAATAAAAGGTAAAAAGTTCACTTGAAAATACCGTTAATACTCTTCAATGATTTGTAATTTTTCAGGAAATTGTTCGTGCATGTGTTTCCAAAATTGTTTCAATTCACACGAGTGAAGTATCCTCATAAAAGCTTTTTTTGATGTCATACGCGTTCAGTTCCCGCGCTTAACACAGGCTACCATTCTTTACTTAGAAATGTGATTGGTTGATAAAGGTGGTATGGATTTTGATTGGCTAGTGACGATCTCACGTATATTTCAAATTTCCCGCCATTTTTGCTCAATATTCGCGTTAGTCTCCTCTCTGATGCTTTTGTTAAGAAGCAGCTAGGAAATATGAATTTAAAGTCATGTTTCAAGCCAATTTGTAAACAAATTTTTCGCACTGATTCAAAAAGTCTTCTATGCAGGAGAGTCTTTAAGTGAACTCTTTTTTTTTTTTTGAAAGTAGTTTCACACAACTCACTGTGCACTGTAATTTTCAGGGAGTTATAGTAACTCCTCTTGTGGGGCTAATTTAACTCCTTACAGTGGAGTTATTTTTCGTGGAGTTACTTTAACTCCAAAAAGGAGTTTAAAGAACTCTTTTTCAGGAGTAAAAGTGACCCCAGATATTGAGGAGTTAAAATAACCCCCAAAAAGGAGTTATCCTGTACCTAAAATTTTTACTCCATTTTCAGAGTTAAATTAACTCCAAAAAGAGTAAAAACAACCCATGTAAGGAGTACAAGTAACCCCATTTCGGAGTAATTTTAACTCCAGACTGGGAGTAAAAAGAACTCTTTTTCAGGAGTAAAAATGACCCCCAAATTCGGAGTTAAATTAGGAGTTAAAATAACCCAAAAAGGGGTTATCCTGTACCTAAAATTTTTACTCCATTTTTGGAGTTATAATAACTCCCTAAAAATTACGGTGTGGGTGTTCCCAAATCTATGTTTGCCAGAACCAGATGCACATCGTTTTGCCATTTAGCAGAGCATCATTTGAAGGACACTTATTAACAGCATTTACAAACGTACATTGATAAATTTTCACTTAAAAGAGAGGCAATAATTAACTTTTTCATATAGGAGCCTCCTCCGAATTGAATTTTACAAACGAGCCAATCAATCTTTAAAAAAAAACCCTTACTACTTAATAGCGCCAAATAGAAATGCTTACAAAGAGATCTTCACTGTTTAAATGGTCACACCACATGACTCATTCACAGAGTTAAAGGTCACGACTACATACTAAATAAATTATAGTACCATGTGAAAGAACTGTTTTAGAGGCGTTATTTGAATGGTCAGACCATAGGATTTCATCCACAGACTCAAAAGTTAGAACTACATACTAAATACATAGTTCCATGTGAAAATACCCACTGCTGAACAGGTTTCATTTGAATGGTCACACCATAGGATTTCATCCAAACATTCAAAAGTTAAAACTACAAACTATAAAATAAGAGTACGAAGAAAAAATCATGCTAAAGAAGTTTCATTTGCATGGTCACATCATAGGACTTCGTCCACACTGTAACACTCATTATACAACAAATTATTACCTTGCTGTAGGCCAACTTTTGGAAAGCCTTTTTAGCCTGACTTGGTTCAAAGAATTCCACAAGAGCAGTTATCCCTGATGGAGGCAGAACAAGCCTGGCCACAGTTCCAAATGGTGCAAATACAGTTCTCAGTTCATCAGGTGCGGTGTTAAAGGGAAGATTTTTCACAACTATGACAGTCTTACTTCGTTTAGCAGAGGGCTAGTGACAAAAGAGGGCATAATTTTCACCAACACTTTTTAAAATGAAATCAGCTTTGACTAACTGAGGCCAAAGGCTTACAATTGTAAAATATCATTCAACAAAAATTAGCTGACAATAATTTCAAACTTTTTATTTAAAATAATCATATGAGAGCAGGTGGAATATGATCGTCCGGGTGAGCATAGTCCTGTTGACAGTGGCTGGCATACATATGAAAGCACTTGCACATCAACTTGTGCTTCCTGAAATTTCTGGGGATAAAAGCTACAGTTCAATTTGAGATCTTCATTATTAAAAATAAAGACAAACATCTATTAAGTGGCCACAGCTGGGGAAGGTACAAGTGGCTGCTTAATTAACCTTGGCTACTTAATAGAGGTTCTGTTTTTTAGTGATTTACTGACAATTTCGGTTAATTTGTGGAACTCGGGTAACTGATCACTGAATAAGGCTACGAAACTCAAATTCAAAAGCAACAAGAAAAAATTTTTGTTTATTGCAGAAATCGAGGACTGTAGCTCTCTTGCGCTTGATACTATCAAGAAAGGTGGTTTTTCGTTGGCCCAGAAGTCCATGGAAACTTCTCTAAATTTGATACAAAAGCAACAAAAACTTTAGGAGCAACGCAGGTTGGCTGGTTGTCCAAGAGTACAAGCAGGAGGCATTGGCAGACAATTCAGAAGATAAAAAGAGAATTTAAAAAGTGCAGGAATCCTGTGTTCTGATAGGCAACCTGAGTGGGCAAGATGGTTCTATCATGCAAGCTCAAACTTAGGTCCCACAAAAAGATGCTTTGGCATGGCCAGATAATAGATCTTTAAATAACAAGGCTTGTTTGGTCAATATGGCTGGATGTCTTTTTGCATTTTTATTGACCTTAACACATAAAATTGATTGATCATCTTGACCCATAAGATTGCAAAAAAAGAACCTTGGTCTTAATAGTGCATATATTGATATACCAATAACATGTGTCAAAGGGTTATCATCACATGCAAACGAAGGATACCATGGGTGTGGCCTTTGATAACCCATTTGACTCAACATAAGTGCTGAATCAGAATTATCTTAAGGAATAACACACTGCTACAGGTAAGAATGCATTCAAAAAAGTTCTCAAGAAACACACCTGTCCAAAAACATCCAGTTTGACTCGCTGTGAAACAAGAAACTTCCTAGTTTCTGTCACGACTTGTGTTTCTCCAAGAGCCATGCGAACAGCCAAACTACTTGATGATGCGCCATCTAAAATGCCACCTTTTGTTGTATTGTACTTATCTGCCATGACATCAGCTACTGCATTCATCCCCAGAAAAAGTGTGTTCCAGTTATGATCTTGGCTGCTTGAGCTTTTCTTCTTTGCATCACGTTTTGACTTGAAGGATGTTCCAACTTCTGTAAAAAAAAAGGATCAGCTTCAACGCTATTAAGTTTAAGTTATTTCCAACTAAAAATAATTGCCCCTCGCAGGGTTTTCGGTCCAAAGGCCATTATTCCAAAGAAACATTATAGTAGTCCCCAGGTGTATAATATGTTACAGCTCAAATGAAATTTATGTTTAATTTTGATTTAACCCAAGTTGATTCACAATTTCCTTTGTCTCCTAGCCCTAGAAGACACAGGAAATTGAGAATCCACCACAGTTAAAAATTTTAACTGGAAATCAAATTTGACCAGTAACATATATAATAAATAACGGCATGGAGAAAAGGACATAGGTAGGAAATCTGCTGGTAAAGGCGAAATCAATCCTAATTAGATCAACCTTGTGGAGACAAAAATGTAATTTCTATAATGGCTGTCTCAGCACAATTTTGGGAGGGGGAAGGTAGTATTTTTGTCATCAGTCATTGAAGAACCCAAGAATTGGTCCAGCTAGGAGCTTAACACAAGACCTCCCAATCTGTGCGGCTGACACCTACCAACCCTTCCACAGTCAACATAAAGACACAAGACGACACATGACATTGTGAATACATAATGTTGTGATTCAATTTTCTCCCTGGTTTAAATTTTATTTTCCTTTGTTTCAAAGTCATAACCACACATTAACATATCCAAAAATAAAAAGCGTTTGTTTCTTTGTAGTGGAAAGTGCACTTAGCTTATCCAGCTAGTTTATAAGCACTCCACTCAAATAATTGTGAAACAAATGATGCTGGTGGGAGGCTACAGCAGTTAGCTATTTACAAGCTAGGCCAAGGATTTGAACTAGGGACAACCAAGAACAAATCCAGCAAGTGCCCAGAGCAGCCACGCTGCCTCCAAGAAAATAACATTTAACTGAGGATAAAACTGAAGTCCACAACACCTATATCAACTCACCTTCCACTCCTTCTTTTGTTTCCCTTGCCTTTGATGGCAGGATGTGCAAATATCGTCCTTGAAAAACTTTTCCATCAAGTTCATTGAAAGCCTTCACAGCATGCTCTGGCATGACAAATGTCACAAACCCAATGCCAGTAGGCTTGTTAGTTGTCTTGTCTAGAGGCAAATATGTCTCTGTTAGAGGGCCATACTTCTCAAACAAGGTTTGCAAGTCTTCCTCTGAGCAGGTATATGTCAAGTTCCGAAGAAAAAGTCTTCCAGACTACAATCACAAAAAAATAAAATATATTTGCATCAAAAAAATTTGGCTCAGTTTTAACGAGTGACTGTCGCCAGTTATACAGTGTAATAGAGAGTTCCTCGTTCTTGTATCATTGAACACATCAGGCAGGTGTGAGATCCTGGAATTTGTAGGGTTATTATTAGTGTTTCTGTGAGGCTGAAGTTCACCTAAGTTCACCTAATAGAAACCTCAAAGTTCGACTAATAACAGTATTCTCAGAAGAAAATTTGATGCATGAGAGTGGACCACCAAGAGGAAATATGGCCACCACTCTAGAGTAACTGCTACTTGTTGGTCATTAAAGTTTCTTGAAGTTACAGTCAATACCCGCTTTACGGACACTTGCTTAATATGGACGCCTCATTATTTCTGACAGTTTGTTTTGTACCTAAGGAAAGAAAGCCCTCACATTTCCTCTATATTCAACCTCCTTAATATTGACACTCCATTAGTATGGACACTTTCTATGGCCCCCTTAAAGTCATTATTAACAAGGTTTGACTCTGCAAGATACAGGTTATCCTACATACCTCAGCAATGCTTTCAAATTCCTCTTCTCCTTCCTTTCCAGCAAGCTTCTTCATCCACGGCTTCTCTTTAACTACTATCTGACTTGAATGTTTCTCTTTGTCTCTGAACAGCTCTATGTATCGACCCTGTATACAATCCCTGTCTCTCTTCAGTGCTTCTTTTATATCATTTTCACTTCCAAAATCAACAAAGGCACAGCCTGTTGGTTTCCCTTCCTTGTTTTCTATCATTCTTATATCAAGTAACCTTAAAGGAGCAAAGAAATCTTTGATGTGTTTTTCTTTAACTTTGAAAGGCAATCCTCTCATTTTGATTGTTCCAAATTTTATAGATTCCTTTGAATTTTCTCCTTTATCACCATCATTAATATCATCACCATCATCATCATCATCATCATCATCATCATCACTGTCATCATCATCATCATTATCACTTTCTTTTGTATCTACATCCACAGTTCCTTCATCTGAACTTTCTCCATTGTTGCTGTCATTATCAGAATCACAATCTTTTCTGCTTTCCTTTTTCTTATGAGGTTTTCTTGAAGATGACACAACTTTTGATCTTAAGTAATCCATATCTGACAGTTTGCTATTCCTTGCATTTTTGTTTTCTTCTTCATTTTCTTCCTTTGTTTTGTCATTGTCATTTTGACTTCCTTGGTCTCCCAATCCTGAAACAAAATGAAGACATTTTGGTATTCAAAACTATAATAAACAGATCTACAATACACTTCAACTGCATTATGGAATAGTGCCTATTGAAATGCAGTTGTGGTAAAATTGAATGTTCCATGACCATTTGCGCAGGAGGAAAAAACTGCAAAGAAACATCATGTTTACAGCAATGGCAATGCATCTTTTCTCTGCTTCACTTACACATGTGCAAATTATCCTTCATTCAGCAGACTTTGCTGGAGATGAAAAAAAATATCTTCAATTTCTCAGATGCTTGCCCTCTTGGGTGCAAAAGTTATTTTGACTTATTTTTGAAGAAGTCAAAACATGGATTCCATGTTTTGACTTCTTTTCTTTTCTATATAGCTTTAAGCAACAAATGGAGCATTGAGAGGGAGAAGTGTAAGGTGAGCACACCATCGACCTAAGGTTTGTTAGTCTGAGGATCTTAGCTATTTTGAGCTACAGACCTAAAATAAATACCCTTGCCTTTACAGAAACACCGCAACTCCCAAAATTCATGACTGGCCGGGTGCAAAGAAAGTTAGTTTTGCAGCTTGCCATTCGGGCAAGTTGTTCCTAGTATGTACTAGCCCAAGAGTCTTTAAAGTAGCCCCAAAATATTTTTCATGAGCAGCATTGATTACAGTTCTTCTGTGCTTTGAATTTTCTCCCTGTTCTGCACTTGCCCTTTGGGTAAGTTAAGATCAGGATTCACTAGCCCGATTGCAAAATCCACTAGCCCCAGGCTATTGGACACAACTTTCTTTGTACGCTGACCAGCATTCTAGCATTTGAGAGAGCATGCTGCTTTTAAGACGTAAGACACCAATGCCAGTTTGCTCCTGTTGTTACGGCTGCCATGTTGGTTGACATGAACAAAAGCATTTCCAGATGCTGAAAACCTAACCCTGTTTTCAGGCAAATTCTGAGGAAAAAATGGTACTAATTTTGTATTTGTCTTGTCAACCAACATGGTTGTCTACATGGTTACAAGATCAAAAATTTTGATAAAGACCTAATGGATCATAAACTTCATCTTCATTTTCACCTTCATCAGAGTCATCATATTCCACTTTCACATTTTCTTCTCTAGCTCGTTTTTTCTTTGATTCCCTGTCATTTTCCTCTGCATTAATGTCACTCCTTGTTTTCCTAGAGCTTTTAACCTTATGTACACTTAAAAAATCCTGAAATTCCACATCATCTTCAAGCTCTTCCAGGACCTTTAAAGTTTTCTTCTTTTTCTTCTCTTTTCCAACAGTTATTTTCTCTTTTTTGGCGTCTTCTTTTTGCTCAGATTTGGAATCTTGTTCCCTTTTGCCATGAACTTTCTTTTCCTTTTTTTCTTTCAATCTTTTGTTTGCAGAACTTCCCTCAGAATATTTGCTCCAAGGCCTTGGTAACGACAGGTCTCCAAAATTTTTAGCAACGTCCACAAATATCTTTGAAGTATCAATATACGAATTATTAAAATACGATAGGGCAGCTTTCGCCAGGTCGTCTGTTTTGTAACCAACGAAGCCATATCTCCTGAACTTTCCATCTTTCGTGTAGCATAGCTTGACGTCCGTTAGCTCACCCTTAGCTGCGAAAATAGAACGAAATCTGTCCTCTTTTAAATTCTTTGGAAGGTTCTTGATAATCAGTCGAGACATGGTCCAAATCAGTGAAAATCAAACAATTTTCAAGACCAAAAAAACATACGCAACTCCGCCATGTTGTTGATGAACGATGCACGTGTTTCAGTTGGTAGCAACCGCTGTCCAGAGTTAACGCGCAATTCAAAATGGCGGAAAGGAGAGGAAGGTCAATGAAAAGAAAAATTGAAGAAGTCGAGAAAACTGAAAGTCACGAAAAGCAAAGTAACATTAAGCGATTTTTTGGAGCCTCTAAAGTAGGTAGGAAATGCTTGATTTCAATTTTATGTATTTTTATTGCTGCAAATCACAACTGAACCTGATTACACCCACTGTACTGGCAGGAAATAACATTACAGAGTGAAGCTATTATAAACACACTTTCTAGCTATCCCCCATTTCGTTTGGTTTGTTGTGTACAGCTAGCAATATAATCCGTTATACCCCAATATCCGCATACAAATTCCCCACACTGATCTCCATACAAATATTAAAGGATTAGTTGAGAGAATGTGTTCTAATATCAGGGCATTTTGCCATAGGTGATGATTCTGTTAATTCTTACAACCTTTTCTTACGACAACATCCACTTTGCAAGGGAAAAAATGAGGTTTTCACTCCCCCACTCCATCCCTGAATCTCAGCTTGAACTTATTTTTGCAAATTGCTGGAAAAATCACAAAAAATTAATTAGAACCTGCAAAAATTTTGTGCCACATTTTAGTCTCATACCCAGCCTGTGCTTTGCATTTTTAGAAGATAATTCAAAAAGCACTGGAATTTCAAAGTCTGATCGCACAGGCAACCAAGAGCTTCCTTGGAAGTGGAAAGGAACTTTACTGTACTTTGAATCACCAAGCATCCAACCTTCAAACAAAATTGCAAGTTTTGATTTTGATGGAACTTTAGCTAAAACATCTTTATTCAAGAATGGCGCTGATGCGTGGTCTATACTGTATCCTACGTGTGTACAGAAGCTGACAAAATTGTACAAGGCAGGATATAAACTTGTAATTTTCACCAATCAGGCTGCCATAGGCAAAGCTAAGGCTACAAAGGAAAAGGTTATAGCTGAAAAGAAAGGCAGACTTGCAGGATTTGTCAACAAGGTAGGATATACATGAGTTGAGCATCACTTTTTATATGGGAGAACAAGACCAGGTATTACCCAAGGCAAGCTGATGGTGTAAGGGTAGTATAAGCAAATGGCAGAGAAATATATATTTTGTGAGATTTATTTGTCATAATGAAACTGCCGCTCCTAGAAGTATGTTCTCATGCCAAGCTTCTAGAGTGTAAATCATCAAGGGAAGATCATGGTGGCTTACTCTATTTCTTCATTGTTGCATTGAATCATTGAAGAAGCAACAACATTTTCCCCTTAATGGTTTATTGAAAAGCTAAGCACAGAAATGATGGAATAAGCAGCTTAAGGGACTTGACCTCTTAGGATGTGTTTTTGTTTGTACCAAATGATTTTGCTAAGTAAGCTGCTAGTGCTGTTATTGTTGATGAGGCAATACAGAGCACTTTAATTTGATGATGATGGTTATGACGATGAAGATGATGATGATGATAGTGATGGGGACAAAACATAGTCAAATATCTTCTAAATCGAAACAAAGGTTTTATTTATTTTTAATTATTGTCATGAAATAATGGCTCCTTTTTCAGGTTGGTCTTCCATTCCAAATACTTGTGGCAACAACAAAGGATGACTATCGCAAACCCAACACAGCAATGTGGGAGTTCTTCTGTCAAAACTGTAATGGGGATGTCAAAATTGACAAAGAGAAGAGTTTCTTTGTTGGTGATGCAGCAGGAAGAAAGAAAGATCATAGTGCAAGTGATAAAGAATTTGCAGCAAATTGTGGACTGAAATTTTATACCGAGGATGAATTTTTTGAAAAGGATATACTTGAACACAAAGGTTAATTAGGTCTTTTAACCCCTTATAGTGCCCAGCACTTTGGTCTTCTCCTTATAAATCTCTGCTTTATTAATTGTATTTATTATAAGAATACAGAAAAATATTCACCAAACTTAAAACCCTTTTACTTCTACAAAAATAGTTTCCTCAACAAATGTATTCAGAACAGGTTGGAGAATGTATTTACATAATACATAATACAAATTTATGAGCATTACTGACTATTATTTTTATATTGAGACATCTTTGACTACAGTTCTTCTCAATGGAACTTTTTGGTTTTCTGGATTATAGGTTGGTCATACCAAAAGATTTATGTCTTTTTTGTGCTATAAGAACCATTTTCATTTTTAACTTCTAGTTTTTGCAGAATAAGAAGCTTTCTTTGTGCTCATAATTTTCACGATCTGATTGGAGTCATTTATGAGGTCTTTTTTGTGCAAAACTTTCTTTGTTCCATTGGAGTCAACTCCTTCTGCTCTAACATACTCTCCAGCTAACAGAGATACTGGTGGATAAAGCATGATATCAAACAACTTTCCAACTGTTGTTCCCGGTTTCAGCACAACACAGTCTCGAAGTATTTGAGGTTTTTCATTTGCCTTCACACTGACTGATTGACAGGTGTCAAGGCAACTGACAGGAAAGGCATATGTTGGTGAACGTAGACTCACAGCTTCTGACAAAGCTCGCAGGACACCAGTGTCTCCAATCGTTTGAAGAACATGTTCTTTTATTTGTGCTAGTTCTTTATCTGAACCATCCATATTTTGCTGTGACTGAGTATTGATATCAAAGTGGGAAGCACCACTTTGGTAGAAAATGTCCCCTTCTTTGCACTTCTGTTGTAAAAAGCATTCACTTTTTGCACTTACAGGTACCATTGTCATGTCAGTGAACTGTGCTTTAAATTTATCCAGATTATCTATCGCATTGGCAAGATCTACTTTGTTGAGAGCTAAAAGGATTGGAAAGCGTAGCCGCAAAAATTCAGCAACCAATTTATGTACCCAACGCTCAGCATGATCCCTTTCCATCTTTGTTATGGCTGATAGCCTAGCATCTGTAATCCCTGCTGACTCAAATGCAAGCTGGATTAGAGCTTGTGAAGTGTGATATCCAGTAAACATGTCACAGAGTTTTGCTGGTTTCTTTCTTACTGAATCCCATTTGTCCATTATATTATCGTAAATCCATCTGTGAAGCTCTTGATGAATCCACTCTACATCTCTAGTTGGATCATACTCTAGTGAAAAAAGAACAAAACCAAGTCATCAAAATGCTTCTTTTCTGTTCAGGTGGGGACTTAAAAAAATATAATAAATTATGATATTATATTACTTAGCAATTAATGAATGAGGCTGAGTATCTTATGAAGAATTATGGAGATCAAGGAGGGTGTTATCCGTCGAGGCCTAGGCGGATAACACCCTCCGAGATCTCCATAATTCTTAAATATATGATATGAAAGCCAAATTCAATAACTGTTTTATTATTCATTCAAAATAATTCCTAGTTTAAAAACATGGCTAAAATATGCTTACCTCCATCGATCCATCGATGTTAAGTTCATCTTCAATGGTGAAAGTTTAGGGTTGTTCAGCTCCACAAATATTCTCCAAATAGCAGAGGTCGCCCTTTGAGTTGTCTTCTTGCTGTTTGTGCCATGTTTTTTAGCTATTTTTTCGCCTAGTTTTTACTCTTGAAACAAGTGAAATGTCTGCCATTTTTTAAGTTCACAACCAAAACAACTCAACCTCGTCCCCAGGGGCCCGTTTCTCGAAAGTCCCGATAATTAACGGGCCCGGTAAGCTGTCTCCGTTTACATTAAAGATCGAGTTTTCAATAGTTTTGCATCTAACATGATAAAACTGTCAGTTAATGAAACAAAATGGAGTAGTTTGCTAGCCAGGACCCGCGCTCTTATTCTTTATATTTCGATTTGAATATTTGATTTCGGGCCCGTAAAGTTACCGGGACCTTCGAGAAACGGGCCCCAGGTCTTCTTGGTTAATGGTGCATTAACCGACACGAACGCTGCATTTTTGATGTCATTTCCTCGCTAAACACAAAATTCTTGGTCATTCTTTGGTCATCAGTAACTGGTTATGGTGCATTAAACGTGTGCTTTTAGCCAATCAGAATAGGGGAAATATTTTGAATGAATAATAATTTTCATAATCCTGATCATGTGAGATGGTCGCTTACAAGAGTTTCTGACACCATAGCTGCAAGAAATAGTTGGACATTGGACGATGTCCAACTACAACTGGCTTATGTCCAATGAATTTTTTTTCAATTCTGGTAAGGTCAGACATGATGTTCCGACAAAGTTTAAAATACCAAAGACTACCACTTTGCAGATAAATAGAATCTACCTATTCCAGAGGTGCGACAGCACATTTCCCGTCTCGGAAATGTAGCCAACTCTGACATGCAGACAGTTCTGTCAGTCCCTTTGCTGTCCATATAAAGAGGTTTCACTGTATTTTTGATGAGAGACTGCTTATAAGAGATGTTCATGCATGAAGATTGCAAAAGTTACAATTTAACTATGTGTCTCTATAATATTGGCTCCAAGAGTTACCTAATGTGGGTTTCCCATCTTCATCTGTCTGCCCAGAAAGGTCGATCACATGAACAAGAACATCAGCATCTAACAAATCACTTAAGAACTTATTTCCACGCCCTCTTCCTTCGCATGCACCAGGTACTAAGCCAGCAACATCTTTGAGCAATACTGGTACAAATCTTTCACCAGAAGCACTGTGTCCAAATCTAGCATGACACTGGTGACTCCACTGTGAACAAGGGCATGGTATGGCATAAAAAGCCTGGCCAACATTTGGTTCAATTGTTGTGAATGGGTGTGCTCCTATTTTGGCCATATTTTGATGTGTGGCAGCATTAAAGAATGTGGATTTACCAGCTGAAGGTTTTCCTAAAGAACAACGGATCATATTACTAAAGTTACCAAGAAAAAACACACACCCCCAAAGGGAATGTTGATTTATGCTAGCAAGGCTAAACTCAACTCAACTCATCCCATCCCATCTCTCATCTCATCTCATCCCATCCGATCCCATCTCATCCCATCCCATCTCATCTCATCCCATCCCATCCCATCTCTAAACTCATCTCATCGCACTCATTACCCGGAAAGAAAAGGGGGAGGATTTAAGACTGGACTTGGAAAAACAGCAGAAATTGAGCCTAAATTATACACTAAGATCAAAATTTGAATTCTCATTTGTTGCCCTTATTCATTTCCTACAGAAGCGTGGGGAGAAGTTAACAAAATATCAAGCAAATTCATCTTGTGTGATCATGTCTGTAATTCTCATGACCACTCTGTTTTACAAAGCATTGATAATAATGAGGAGAAATTTGATGCTGATCACTCTTAGGGCTTAAACGGTTAAATTACCAATAAGACCAATAACAAAGTTCCATCGTCCCCCCTTCACATTGGCAGTTTCCAGCTTATACTTCAAATCTTGTGGCGTCAGTGAATCAGGACTATTTTCAGTATCCTCTGTTTCACAAACAGATTTTTTCTCTCCCTCAGAGCTCTTGAACCTGACAGCATTTTCATTAATCCATTCTTTGGTTGCATCTACCAGACTAAAAACCATAGGCATTCCAACATATTCTTTGCATGAAACTCGTATAAAAGAGAGCAGTTCTTCTGTAAACTCTTTCGGCATTGCATTAGAACGGTTGGGTATCTCAATTAATGGGATTTCATCTGGATAAGTTGGCGGAAAAGAGATCTTTAGCTGAAGAGATGACACAGAGGTGAAAATGCCCACATCATCAATTCTAATCATAAACGCTGGAGGAAATGCGCTGAGCTCCGAGAATTCATCTGGGAAGATAGACTTTAGACATTCTACTTCTTCTCTCTGTTCCCCAAGATAATCCATTTTGCAAGCAATAGTTTATTGATCTTTATTCATAAAAACTTTGCCGGTCAACAACCATCTTCGATTTCGCACAAATGGTGCAATAAGAAATCAAATGTGATCATGGTGATTACTCATTAGTCGGTTTTTGAGACATCCCAGACGTCTTTTCGGCATTTAACACGGAGTGTTCAAGACAAGATGGCGGTTCGCATGCTTTCTCGGTTGAATTGGGTTTCAAGGCGTTTTTACGCTGCTACTGCGGATTCATCAAAAATGACTTTAGCAGAGAAGGAAGCAGCAGAGTCCAAACATGCTGAATGTAAGTTTCAAATGTGATAATAAGAGCGAGATATATCGCAAAAGCGATATTGTTGTCTGATATTTGGTCGACCTATTAATCATATGACAATTTTATAAGACAGGATTAAAAGTCTTAGAAACTCCCCCTTCTTTCCTTCCAACTCGATTTTTTAAGACGTGTTTGAATAGGTCTCTTTTTAGTAAGAACTAGCGTGTACCATCCCAGAAGTCATTTCAACTAGCCGAAAGAAAATTTTAATGAGCGGGATTGATTTCAGTTCTTCAGTAATTTGAATCGCTGTGGCTATATGGCCGGTAACCGGTCAAGGTTTTCAAAACACTAAATGGCCGGCAGTCCGTTATTCTCAGTAAATTTCACAAAATCGAAAGATTCCAGCTAATGTAAACTATCATACGTCGATTTAGAAAAGTCAAGGATCCTGAAATGCTTTACAGATCTCAAGTCTAATGTTTGGTTTACGCTGAACCATGTTTTGTGAGACTTTTCAGCTCGACTGCCAGTCAAGGTTTTCAAAACACTAAATGGCCGGCAGTCCGTTATTCTCAGTAAATTTCACAAAATTGAAAGATTCTAGCTAATCTAAACTATAACATGTCGTGATCGTGATCAAACCAGCCGGTTTTGTGGGATTTCTATATCATATTTTTGTTGGTCGCGAGTCTTTGGATGTTCGTTACTGTTTTCTGTCCAAAGCGTGGCGTGACAGGCGACGTTTGACGTCATGCCATCTTGACCTTTCATGCGGCCTTTGCGGAAAACCGGCAGGAATCTTTCGATTTTGTGAAATTTACTGAGAATATAGAACTGCTGGCCATTTAGTGTTTTGAAAACCTTGACCGGCAGTCGAGCTGAAAAGTCTCACAAAACATGGTTCAGCGTAAACCAAACATTAGACTTGAGATCTGTAAAGCATTTCAGGATCGCTTGACTTTTCTAAATCAACGTATGATAGTTTACATTAGCTGGAATCTTTCGATTTTGTGAAATTTACCAAGAATATAGAACTGCCGGCCATTTAGTGTTTTGAAAACCTTGACCGGCAGTCGAGCTGAAAAAATTTCCAAGTGTCACAAAACATGATTTCCTCCTCTGAGCCCAGCGCAAACCAAACACTAGACCAAAGATCTGTAAAGCATTTCAGGATCACTTGACTTTTCTAAATCGACATATGATAGTTAAGATTAGCTGGAATCTTTCAATTTTGTGAAATTTACTGAGAATATAGAACTACCGGCCATTTAGTATTTTGAAAACCTTGACCGGTTACCGGCCATATAGCCACAGCGAATTTGAATTCCCCCAAAAAACTTCACTCACCCCACGGGCAAGTTAAGAACAGACTTGACTAGCCCAAAAGCAAAACTACTAACCCTTGGCTATGGGTCACTACTTTCTTTGTATGCTGAGTTTGTATTCTTTTTTAATATTTTAGCAACCATGAAGACATGGAAGAACATTTCAATTTTTGTCGCTGTGCCAGCAATTTTGATCTGTGCTTACAATGCCTGGGTGAAGGAAAAGGAGCATCATACCCATCCTAGGCCAGAGTTTCTTGAGTATCCCCATCTAAGGATTCGTAACAAGGTAAATTAACTGAAAAAGAATGATCCAAATTGCTGTGCTTTTCAATAACGTGCGAACTCCGAAGTTCAAAAGCCAACTTGCGTTTTCGTTCTTCACTGCCATCAGTCATCTTAGCGGACCCCTCAAGAAACAGAAATTTACTTTCAGTGAGTTCAAACGTTTATGGCGTGTGATTTGTTAGTGGTGGATTTTGATCCACTTTGTGTGGTTCTGAATCTCGGCACCATTACTTGTGATCGTAATTGAATTTCAGAGTTTGCATGTTATTGAAAAGCATAGTAATGGTTATTTATTAACTATACACCAATCCCAGGTAAGGCAAGACCCTAAATTTCAATCTGACATCAAAGTTGATGATAGACAAAATCTTTAAGATTGCACAGAATAGGAAGGGAGTGTTTTTTTCTGTATTAAATTAATTATTGCCTTCTTCACATGATACATTAACAGCAACTTTTTGTTCATTTCTTTGCAACTGAGTCCCAAATGATACTCAAAATACCTGTAATAAAGCAGCTCTTACAGTAGTTTTAATAACACATCTCACAGCTTTTTTCAGTAAACAGAGTTTCAAAATATGGACAGAAGCAATCCAACCATCTTGTCTTGAATTTGTACTGAAGAAATTTACAGGAATGATACTTTTACTTTCAAAGATGTTGAAACACACAACATATTTTTCTTTGTTTGAGATTTGAATAAATTTTATGTCCAGGCTTGTAAGTACCTAAGTTGACTAATATTCTGAGACATAAACCCTTTACAATTAAAAAAATTGTCATATTCTACTTATTATTTGGGAATGACTTCGATTAATAGGAATGGATTGCATTTCATGTTCAAAACTGAATACTTGAAATTGCACCTGGTCGCTAGAGGTGCTTACGATTTACTCACAGACGACTAAAATTAAAAGCAAGTAGTCCACACAAGCGCCTAAAACTTATGCTTCTTATGACAATAGCTTCTATGCCAACTTCAAATTAACAAACAACAAAATTCCCTGCTCATTCTGCGCTTTTGAAACAAAAACTTAAAGCGTGTGGTGGTCGAGTGTGGGCAAAAATAATTCTGCAAGTAAAATTAAACAAACAAGCACTTGTCTTGAAATTCGCACCAGTGACCTCCACTCCCAGGGCTTCTGCTGCAGTACAGTTGAAGTTTCTTGTCTCACAAAGATCTCAAATGAATTTTGTAGTCTCAGAAAAACTTTTGGTATCCAAAAATGCCTTTAGTTGGTCCTTTTTACTGCTTAAGAACTTTAACTTCACTTCGCTTAAATTGTACGTGTAAGCACTGTTGATTGGCGTGAATGGTTGATTCATGCCTCTTGAAACTCAAACAAATCAAGTTTCGAGATGCATGAATCGAGTTTAGGGGATCTGCTTACTTACAGCAAAGGAGATACAGATACTGTCGATAAGGTCATCCTGGTTAATGAGGTTTAGGTACCATTGCTCCAGATTCATTCTTGAAATACAGTTGGGGTTCAGGAAAAGATTGGCCCTTGAATGTTTGCTCAACTTGAACTGTGCTACTTTTTATGCCCTAATGAATTTGAAGTTTATCAATCAATGGGTTTCTAGAAATGTGGCTGGGGCTCCTAACTTTTTACTTTAACTTTTTTTTCTTATGCAGTAGCCTTGACCAGAATCTTCCAAACATAGCCTCCTCTGGAGTAAAGAATGTTGATTGGGTCATTTGCTAACATCAATCAAAATTGCACCAGAGAAATATGCCTCTTTTGTCTTGTGTTGCTTCCAGTCACTTACCTGTAACAGGAAAACGTTCTTTCCATTCTTTGACGATTTTTTTTTTTCAGAGTTACAGGGCTCGAAATAATTTTCGAATAGTCTCCGGTCACGATGACCGGCCAAATTCATTTTTGCTCGGTCACGTATCGTTTCTGGCCGGTCAAATGTATACGATGAATTACTCTTTTAGGGGCCCATAAACCCAAAACGTTACGAATTTATTTCGCAAGAGTCGTTGCTAAGAGCTTATAGCACTTCAGTAAAGTGCTTTACGATAAAAGTAAAATACAACGGCGAAATGAAAATAAGCTTAATTAAGCTTATGTGTATTATCGTTACACTTTCTGTAAGACTTACATGTTAAATATCATCATTCAGTACACATTAAATTTGTCTGGGGCGTTCACATGCATGTATAATGATTTCTGGTGTGAGATCTTGATCCTAAAACTCCGGCAGAGTGTTTGTACATTGTTTATCAGGTTCACGGTTGTACAACCTTTCATGTTTACATTACGTACGCGGCCGATTAACACATCGATAAAGTTGCGAAGAGTGAAATAATTATTGTAACGTTGCTATGAATTATAGTCCCTTTGCAGTACACTGCTTTGATAATATTTGTTCCGCTTAAGGAATTAATTTATACGCAGGGACAAATGTACAACTTGAAAATTACTAATAAAAGTGGAAATATTTGCTAATTTTGTGACTGGAAGTGGGCAAATCCCGATGTCTGTTTCGATGCGCGAATTGTAAACAACGGCTCTAGTTGCATGTCACCAGGATTTCATATCAAAGTTCCGCAATACACAGCGACTCGATAAATAACAACTGAAACAACTGAACAGCAGGAACCTTAAATTTATTTCATTTTCAGTACGATTGAATTTTGACCGGTCAACATGACCGGCAAGACGAAAGTTTGACCGGTCAAATCCACAATCAGTCCGGACATTGTCCGTTGACCGGCCGTTATTTCGAGCCCTGGAGTTAAGTCACCTGCATTTTAAGAATCATCTTTTTGGGTATTGTAAATTAAGAGCTTCTTTATACCAAAAAGCACTTTTTTTATCACAACTGAACAATAATTACTTGTGCGCTGTTAGGTCAAGAGCTATGTTTGATAGGAGTACAGACCCTGGAAATGACTGGATGGTAGCACAATTTGTTTTTCTCTTTCTTGCACGCCCAATTTTCCAAGAAACTTCGACAGAAATGGGCATCAAAATAATCTTGATGCCCATAATAATTTTATTATCAATGTTAGTGTAAAACAAATTGAGAGCATGGTCTGTTCTCTTATGGACCATAGAAATGAGGTCAAAATTTTGGTTTTACTTTGCAGTAAAACAACTTGCCATTATAGTCATTTCTATGGTCAGTAAGAGTACAGACCATGGAAAATTGTTATCGATTTGGTAAAGTGGTGACTTTTTGTGGGGCAAACAAAAAATAATTGGTAAGTGAGATGTGTTGATCAGCCAACTGTCACCTGTTGTGCACATTCATGAACATTCCAATCATGACAATAACAAACCAAAGAGCACTCCTCATTTGGAAGAAGGCTATTGTTGAATGCATTACGATAATTATTATTTAGAACGAAAAAGAAATGTTGAGGGCAATAATTCCTTTCCTAATAATTATAATATTGATAAAAGTCATTCCTAAATAATGCGTGGAACATGCTAGGTATTTGGACTGTAAGACAGTTGTGACTTATATACTGTATTTTGCAGGCATTCCCATGGGGTGATGGAAATCACAGCTTGTTCCATAATCCACATGCCAATGCTTTACCTGCTGGTTATGAAGATGGCGATGAAGGTCATGAACACTGAGCACCATCTTCAATGTTTGAAAGCCTCATGTTCATCTTACCTGTTTACAAGATGTGTTGATAAGTCATTTGCTGCTAATTATGCTGTCTGGATTATTTTTCCACTATGCATTGGCTCGTGGTCCAATTTTTTTGCTGTCTTGTAATGGGATAAATTGTAAACAGTTTGTGAATAAAAATTTAGTGGTACGTTTTTATGTGCATTGAATGTTTTCTTAAAAAATCCCAATGGAAAAGCTTTAAAATGCAACATACTGTAAAACAAAGCCCTCAGTCTGCTCTCATTACCTTGCAAAAATTGATGTAGTCTATCATTAAGATGCATACATTAAGCTTGAGGATGAGTCATTTAGTTTTGAAGTACATGTAAGCACAGAACACTTAACAATCATTTAAAGGAGGGCTCTGTCTTGAAAGAGGTATGGATTCCAGCTAATTATTTCCATATCATTTGATAGCAAAACTCTCATAGCTTTGAATTTCTTCAAGAATATTACTTTTGATAATCTGATTATTAATTATTTTTAACAGTAGTAGCCTCCTATAGTCCTTGTAGGGGAAGATTGCATAACAGCCAAAAAGAATGTCTAAAAGAGGCTATCTAGACACAGCTTCACTAATGATATCCAAGGCATCTCAAAGTCAGACTGTATTACTCCACTGCAACCCTTTTTTCAACCTAAATCTTGATGTGACAAAAATTTTCAAAGTTATCGCAATTGAAGTCGTATGGAAGTATTTCATTTGAATAGCCTAGAATTAATCAGCAAATTGAGATCATATCATTATATTCTTACTCTGTAACTTACATCATCCATTTTCCTTCATCTTTTTGTCCAGCTCTATGTCCAGAGCGAAAACAATATTTGTCAATTTGTTATTGGATGAGGCTAAGTATGATATGAAGAATTATGTACATTAAGGACTGTGTTATCAGCTGAAGCCAAAAGCTGAGGTTGATAGTGTGCACTCTGAGGTCTGCATAATTTATTATTCATATCATGCGAATGTTGAATTCAATAATAATACTAACATGATCAATAGGAAAAAATCACTAAACCAGGACATTTTCTTGTCTTTTTCCCAGCCATAAAATTCACCTCTTAGCCCTTTTAGAACCTTTCATATTGACAGATTTCTCTACCCTTCATATACTTCATGCAGTGAAATCCTTACTCTTGGGCTACCCCTTTCAGGCAATGTCTCCTTGTTTTGGTCATTATAGGGAGTTTGCTTTTTCTTCTGGGAAACCAAACCCTCCTCTTGGGGGGGTACAGGCTGTGACCCTGTACAGTACTCTCTATAATGGCCTATACTAGGAGGCTCCACCCAAAAGGGATACCTTGTTCACAAAGGGTACGGATTTCTCTAGTTTAAGTATATGAAAGGATAGGGAAATCTGTCATTGCAGTCCGTAAAAGGTTCTAAAAGGGCTAAGAGACAAAATGCTTCCCTTTAAAAAATCATGCCCTTGTGGGACAATATTGTTAATAGTAAATGGCCTTTTATTCTAGCAACCTTGGTTGGGTATCCTGCACTGTTGCATGTTGATGTGCTGAGTTCAGTTGAGTTTGATTTTCTTTCCTCTTTCTTTTTTTTGTCTCTTTTCCTTGTTTTATTTTTCGCTGTTTTAATTGTTTTCAGGAGCCCTTTGTTATTGTTTTGTTTTGTTTGTTGCTTTGTATTTTTTTTCATATTTTCTTTTCCCTGTTGTCTTTTTTTCTTTTCTTCCTACTTTTGCTTAACTGCTTCCCAAGGTTCAGTGATTGACATACCATAAATCATCTATTATACGCCTACCCTCAAATAAACGCCTCTTCTACAATGTCAGGTTTGTATTAGACGGCCCTCTCTAATAAACGCCCCTTGTCTTATAGATGCACCGCATGACAACATTACTCCAAATAATAATAATAATAATTTTAAAAATTATAGCGTGCAAATATCTGTATGATAGAATTAGCAAAACATCTCGGGATATTTTCTCCTAAAGTATCTTAGTTTTGTTGAGCTTGTTGCAGTTATGAGAATAATCGCCTCTTATCTTTTGGGCCCCATAAATTAGCGCCCCGGCCGTCTGTTTGGTGGCCGTTAGATCATTCACGGTATTTTGGTTGGGTATCCTGCGCCCTTCTGATCACGTGATGACGTCCACCTACTCCGCCCCTTCGCCCCCATTTTCCCAGGTGCCGGAGGATTTACCTTTGCAGGTGATGTTTTTATACTTTTGAGAGGTAAGTGCGAAGAAAAATTGTTTAAAACCATCCTCTGACACCTGTTATTACGTCACCGATAACTGTCTTTGCGCGGAGATGTTGCGTGGAGCAAAAAAACTCCGATTTCATTGGAGTGTTTGTGCAATATTTATGCGTGACAAATTTGCACGCAAGCACCGTTTACTCAGCAAATTTGTGGTGACATTAACATATCACTTTCCTGTTATGGGGGTGACGGTTTCCTCTAAGAGGGAAAACAGAATCCATAAACAAGTCCCCAAGCCATCATTTGCCAGCTTTTCGACATCTGGTACATTGACTACTGATTCATGCAATCGCGAAGATGTCGAAGGTGAGCTTTTTCAGAAGCCTTTTGAGTAAATACAAGCTATCATCATTTTTTACAGCATGGCTAACGAAGTATACGACTTGATTGGCTCCTTGTACCAGCTGATACTTTGCCTCACTTTTACATATAAATGATGATACCGATTCGCTGCGTGTTCAGTAAAAAGATTAAGTTTTATTTATTATTTTGTTTGTTTTGATGTCTGTCTTCGCTCTCGAACGTCTTCGAGTTCGAAATCAAAACAATTAACGGATACATTTTAAACCTTTATATTGTAATAAGCTTTAAGTCTTACATTTTTTATGACTACTGGTGATAATGAAGTTAATGTAAATTTACAGGGAAGTTTTTTTATTCCATTGGTTTCTCCGGTTTTATGAAGAATTTAAAAAAAACTCACGACAAAGATATCCCGCAAGTCTGGTATCGATCCAAGGGTCTCTTAAGGCCTGTTTCAAACTTCGTGCTACTGCTGTGCTACTGAAGCCGTCTCGACTGTAGCTCGACTGCAGCATGACACTAGCACGACATGGTTTCAGACGTTGAATTTAATTCAGTCGAATAGAACGGCTGTGGCCGAAAACAAAACAAAAAAAGACAGAAACCAAGTCAAGCTACTGCTGTGTAGCATGGCAAGGCTTGCCTTGCTAAAGTCGAATTTAATTCAATCAATTGAGTTCGGCACGGCAGTAGCATGACATTTGAAACAGGCCTAAACCAACATCAAGTTTTCCCCTGACCTTCTGGTTACTAGTCCAGGTGCCCTACCACTGAGTTATAAGGGACTCATTGATGCTAAGGCCATTGGTAAAAAGAGAATTCAGTTCCTAAATGGAATTGAAAAACAAACACCTCTGGCATAGTTGCCCAAATGTTTCATGCTACTTGTAGTTTGATCTGTGCCCCAGGCTAAAATTTCCCCAAAATGTAAATGTTGTTTTCGATTCCACAGGTCATCGCATGGTTTTTTAGCACATAGATTTCAGCTTTAAAAACATTTTTTGAATCATTACAGTCATGAAAGCAACTGTTGATGTCCATACTTTATGTAGGATGACACATAATATCCTAATTCTCACCCAAATTATGATTGAAGAACTGAATCAATAGACCTTTTTACCGATGTGGCAGCCATATTTAAGGAGTACAGTATTATGTGATGCCCAAGAGGCATTAACACGATCCGATATACTCGCTCAGTATTTACACGCGCTTTACGGGCCAATTTTTCTTTAAGTTTTCCCAGAAAAAGATAGTAATGGGAAAAAAAGATCGTTGTGCCGTGTTGAATGTAAATTATAATAATCATCTTTTTCCAAAGAAATGTACAGTGAAGTTCTCTTTTTGCCAAAAAGCGCGTGTAAATACTGAGCGAGTGCCCCTTGGGTATCCCATAATACTTCTTAACTCTAATAAATTCAATAGTTGGCGGCGGTATTGGTAAAAAGGTGTATTTGTCTGTATTGGGGGTGGAAAGGGGGTAATACTGCAAAAGAGGCAGCCTCTGGATTTATGATCTCCAAAAGTTGGCCTTTCTGCCATAATAGTGTCTGTTGCCATCATTGTAGCGGATTACTTACTCAGAGTGGCATAAGAGTCTTTCATAAAGGCACTATTACACTGATATAAGCTTTCATTATGGGAGGTTTATGTGGAACGTTGTTTATAGTAACACCCCTCAAAAGAACATACAATATTACATTAGTCCAGCATATGGGTGTTTGCAAAGAGGACTAACTGATGATTCTTTTCATTAATTTTTATTGCTAAGTAGGGGCAACTTCAGAAAACACAAGCATGATTGAAGTGACCGTGGGCCAGTATGATGACTGCTTGGAAGATGGAACGTAAGCTGGGCAACTATTCATCTTATTCTAAACTCTGCCACCTGGTTAGCTCAGTTGGGAGAGTGCCAGTCTAATGAACTGGAGGTCACGGAATCAAACCCCTGCGGGACCAACAATCATGGTCTTAAATAACTGAGAAGAAAGTGCTGCTTTTGTTATGACATAAGGAGAAAAATTGTAGGTCCTGTCCCACAGCACTTTCACATGTCTGGTTCTTTTTGGACTCAAAAGAACCCACGCCACTGTTCACAAAGAGTAGGAGACGTAGACCCCCTTGGTGTGGCCAACCTTTCCTGGGCTGGGTGGGTTATCTGTAATAAGGAGAGATCTTAATATAAGGACAACCTCATGATCTTCCTTCAGGTGTCATAATGGCTACCTGTTAACAGTGTAGATGTATAACTCTTTTCTTGTTTTAATTTACAGTGCAGGTGCTTGTGCAACTGAGACTGTTAGGATTAGGGTTAGGGGTTCGCACATCTGCAATTTAAACCCACCATTCAACTCTCAAAGAAAAATTGTAGGGTCTGGGTAAAATACTAAAACACAAGACCAAATAGTTCCAATTGAGTCATTATGTAAAGCCATTGAAATGATAAAAAAAATGATTTAACTGCATTCATACAGTGTAAGAACACTGTGTGATTTAAGTATGTTACATTATATAGTTGGGTGATTATGCTAGCAGTTACCTCAAGTTATGTCCAAATATACACAGTTTTATGATGTAGATAAACATGTTTTCCCTTACTGTATCCTTACCTAAAAGAAAGCATTTCTCTGTCCAACATAAAAGAAAGAAAATACAAAAAATGTATTATATGGCATACCCAGTTAAGGTTCTAGTTATGTGCATTTCTGGACATAAATAGTCATCTTGGCCAAAACATTTCTTAGTGATTTAGAGAAACATAAACATGTTAAAACTAACAAGATAATGTTCTGACATTTCAAAGACCTTGACTCTTTTTGAATTTGCATCTAAGTATTGCCTGTTCCTTGGTGATGGCATCATATGTTGTTGCTGAAACAGCGGCACATTATCTCATTAGTTTATACATGTTTATGTTTAAATAAATTCATGGTTTGCTTGTAGGATGAAGACAATAGACATTGGTGAGTCAGGGAAAGCACTACTGGTGCGAGAGAATGGACAGTACTATGCAATTGGTCATAAGTGCACCCACTATGGAGCTCCCCTTGCCACTGGACACCTATGCAATGGTCGAGTACGCTGCCCTTGGCATGGAGCTTGCTTTAATGTCAAGACTGGAGATATTGAGGATTTTCCTGGTTTGGATAGTGTACCAAAATTTGAGGTACAGAAGCTATAATTTATTATAATATTGGAGGAGGAAAGCCCTACATAACTCAGGACTGTCACTAACTGATTTCAAGTTCAAACAGAACAGATGGAAATTGCTGTTGCTCAAAATATCTATAAGTTAGTCCTATCTGTTCTTCCGTAGGTTGCCTAAACTGTGTGCACTTGCACAATTAGTTTTGGCTCCATTAAAGCGTATACCATATTGTAGACATTTTTGGAGGATCAGAGCCACCCTCAATGTGAGCACACTATTACTGACAAGGCACATGACAGGAAAAAATCCCAAAGAAAATGTATTGTGTGCTGTTAAATAACAAACTAAATGCACCAGTCAGTTAAATATTAAGTAAATAAAAGGGCACACATATTAAAATTGTGTGCACACACACAGTTAACCTACACTAACTAAATGGATACTTAAATGATTAAATTAACAAATGATATGGCTGCGGGCTGATTACTCTATCAGATCACCTGATGTATTAGATTCTAACTTAGTGGTCTAACTTAGAATAAAGAGGAAAAAGGCACTTATTAGTTACAATGTTCAAAGTATTCAATAATAATAATAATTATTATTATTATTGAATACTTTAAACATCGTAACTAATAAGTGCCCTTTTATTGCCCCACGTACCATCGGGAGTGGTTTGTGATTTGTCTTAGTCATGGAATTTTTTTTAACCCACTTGTAAATTGATGCATTTGCTTTTATTCATTTGCCTACTATTTTGTTTCCTTTAGGTGGTTATCAAGAATGATAATGTCATAGTCAGAGCACATCTAGAGGTATCTGAATATTTTTATACAGTATTACTCCCTGAATTTTCTTTTTTGGGGGGGGTACTCAACAGAGTCTTTTATGGGGAGGCTCCACCCTGAGTTCCAATTCTTACCCTTTTACATACCATTTTTGTAATAACTGCTTGTAACCCCCTCTAACCCCCCTGTAAATCCGTTGTATATATATTGTAGATAATTATTTTAATTTTTAAGCCTAGGTATCTTATTGTAAATAATTCTTGAATTCCCCGCACCCAATTTTAGCCCATTTATTGAACTAACCAACTAATCACAAAACAAAAACAACTGTTTACACTGTTTAGACACCAAAAAATTAAACAAACTCTATACGTTCGATCCGGTCAAGGTAAATTGAATAAACAAAACCACTTATAATGACTGTCAATCATCAGGAAAGCACAACTAAAATCGTTACGAGGAAATGGATTACAGGATTTCAACCAAAATATAAAAAAGAACAAAATTTAACTGTCCGCTTGTAAAAATCCACAATGAAACTTGTTTACTGTTCAGCGAATATATACTTGCTAGTTTACATATCACACTTTCTTCCCATAATCTCACGCCGGCACTTAAAACACACTGCCGACAAATGCATTTTGTGCTTGGGAATTAAGAAACCATTATCTTTTGTTTCATTACGCTTCGCTACATTCAGGCAAAGATAAATGAACAATTCTTGAATTCCCCCGCACCCAAAAAAACTGACAACCAGAAATGCGGTGCGGGATAAGCAGACAATTCACAATCAGTGGCAAAAGCATATAAGGATACAATATAAGGCAATGTTCATTAAGCAAACATATTTACAGTGTAATAGATAGCTAATCGCTTGGATACCATAAGGGTACTGTCCAAAAATTGTTAAGCATATCCACCTGCGGCAAGGATTCTGTGTCATCAAGCAACGTTAAGCCATCAGAATTAATTGGGCAAATGTAAATCTCTCCATACTGCAACAAACAACACAACTCTCAAGCAATGTTTATCAAGTAAATCACATACTGAAAATTAAAGAGCCAAATTTCTAGATACCACAAGGGTATTTTCCAAAGATTCATCGACATAACCATCTGCGGCTTGGATACTGCGCCAACCACCATGTTCACGCCATACTCTCCCAGAAACTCCGCTGCGTGCTGCTTGGGAAGCACCACCTGAACGAAGGCTATGTAAACCAAAATTGTTCGAGTCTAAACCAAGTTCGAAATCATTTGACGAAACTGTTCCCGTGCCGAGAATATGACAGAGCAGCTTGTCGCAGCTTGTACCCGGCACCCAATTTCTGGCAGAGACAAAATAATGACTGAGATGGTTGATGCTCTCCGCGCTCAAGGAATAACTCTAACAGTTTCACTGGACAAGAGCTGGAAGGTAAACGAGCAACTTTAACCACAGATCCCTGACGGAATTGATCGTTCTTACGCCTGTCTAGGAAAATAGACATGTGGGTGGCGCAAAACCTTAAGTCACAGGTACGTAAGTCATGCAGCTCTGACCAACGTAGGAAAGCACAAAAACCAAGCGCAACCAGCGACACCATTTGTAGGTTCGGTAGAGAAGCACGAGGGTGACCATAGGAACGAATCAGCGCCCTGACGTGATGAGATTCAATAGGCTGCTTTTTCCTAGATGGACCAGCCAAGGTCTGAGAAACGAGCGGATCGTCGACAGGATTAGGACATCCAAGTTTCTTATGTAGCCATGCAATGCCATAAGCTGCTCCAAGGATTGACGAGCGAGATAAGCCTCGGTCTGAAAGACTTGTTAAGTAGAGAGCAGCTGCGGTTGGGTTAGACTGTAAAGGAGGAAACGAGTAACACTTGCACCAGTCAATCCATCGATTGGCTGCCCCTGCATACGAAGACACGGTTGAAGCGGCACAGTCATTAAGTATGACAGTCTTTAACAGTTCTACAAGCCTCTGAATCTCCGCGTTGCTCCGTTGGTAAGGCGACAAGCCTAAAGTGAAAATCAACAATGTCCAAAACATGGCACTTTAAAGACAGGAACAACATCCAATTGCTACAGAACACTAAACGCCAAGAAGATACACATCGCCTGCAACGAGAACTGCCCACATGGCAAGTTAACACAGCACCAGTACACACTCCAGCACAAGGAGGCTTGGCCCACTCGGCGCCAACTGGTAAGCAAATCCACACAAAGGATAGAGGAGTCCACTTGACTCTAAAAACGAACACACTACTGTGTCGGCAGTGCCCTCTCGGCTTGCTTCAGCTGCACAACTCGTGCGTACTAGTACAGTTCCAAGTCCACTGACTTGCAAAGAGCAAAGGCCCACACCTAGGCCAAAAAGGCTCAGATAGAACAAAAACAAATAATTAGGATGAACAACTCGTTCAAGGTACTCATCTAATACCGAAAAAACGTTCTACAGCAAAACTAAGGAAACACAATTCTCAAAGCAAATACCCTACACGAGGGAATACCATGCCCGAAAAGATCATGACTGCGGAACCAGGGAGAAAAGTAGATTCATGTAAAGGAATCTCCCGCCAGTCAAGAACAAAAGGGTGGAAAACCCCGGGGCTTCGAGACACCAACGGCCACCAATGAGCAGATTGCCAAAAGGGGATAATGAGAGTGCCCTGCTCTCTACCCAGTTTCATGTGATTGAGAACCCTGGGAATAAGGAACACTGGGGGGACCAACCAATTGTTTTCCCCTCCCCAGCTGACGGTAAAAGCATCAACAGTTTCGGTCCCAGGACACCACCATCGAGAACAAAACCTGAGCAACTGGAAAGAATTATGACTCGCAAAACGATCTACAGTGTGGGGTCCCCACAGAATATCCAACTGGCGAAAATGGACAGGGTTGAGCATCCAATCATCGGTGTCGACAACTTTCGACCAATAATCAGCTTTGAAATTAAAGTGGCGAGGTATCCACTCCGCAGAAAAGCGAATACCGGCTTCATGGCACAAATTGTAAATGGCAAACCTTCTTTTTGCAAATGAGGCTTACTACTGCCGACGGACAAAATACTGCAGACGCTCTGATTGTCAGATCTATGCTTGCACTCCTTACCCGCCAAAAGACCGGAAAACGACTGAAGAACAAATCTAATTGCACGAATCTCGCGGAAAGAAGAGCTGCATAGGGCCTCGGAACCCAACCAGTTCCCTCTAGCGATGTGCGTACCAAATTGAACAATAAATCCCGCCCAACCCACATTGCTGGCATCCGAATAAGACAAAAGCTCTATCTTCGGGAGGGCCTCCAGATTGGTTTGCCGCACAAACGAAAGAAATTATCTCTCCAAAAATTAAGCTCCTCTACAGCTTCACGCGTTAAAGCAACCTTGCAGCTAAGGCTATGAACGCTATTAAGGACTGCGTACAAGGCTCGGGTGCGTAAACGCACAATTGGACCTAAAGCGAGCTCCATGGAAATAAGGGTACCCGTGTCTGAGACACATCCCTAGCCGTGGGTGAAACATCGTCAAGAAGCAGTGAAATCAGATTAAACAGGTGATCAATCTTGCCTGGTGGGATACTAAATTCTCCTTTGGTAAGGTCCAAAATAAAGCCTAAGTGCTCCCCTTTTGGCGCGGCTCAAAATTGCTCTTCTCCTCATTCACTAGCAGGCCAAGGCGATCAAGATCGCCTCGCACAAGTTGCGCTTCCTGAGAACACGAATCTTTACTTGAATCGGTGCCGATCCCGTCGTCCAAATAGACAGAAATCCTAATGCCTTGTGACCGCCAGTGTGAAACAACTGGTCTTAACAATTTGGTGAAAACGTAAGGAGACGTGCTTAAACCAAAAGGAAGCGAACAAAACAAAAAATAGCGTGGCTTACCATCGAAAGTAAACGAAAAAAGCCAAATACTTCCAATGCTCTTGAAAAATGTCAACATGATGGTAGCCATTACGAAGATCGAAAGTAAAAACCAATCACCTGGCTGAAGAATTTCCGCCACAACTCGAAGGTCTTCGAACTTAAACTTACGCTTGGCTAGGTGCTTGTTAAGAAAGCGAAGGTCGAGAATCAATCGAAGTTTGCCATTCTTTTTAGGAACTACACCTAAGGGACTGCAAACATGAACTTGGTCACGCTTGACTTCCACCGCGCTACCCGCCAACAACAATTGCTCGATAGCTTCACAAACAAAAGCTCTATTATCAACAGCGCTTTTATGATTACTAAAGAAATACTTCAATGGAATTGAAACAAATGGTAACTTATAACCGCTTTCAATAACACTAAGAACAAAAGAAGAGGCCCCAATAGAACGCCAAACATGCAAAAACTTGCGCAAGCGGCCTCGAATCCAAAATACTGAGGAAACGCCCGTGTCAAGTTCAGCCTTGCCGCGATCCGAAAATTCGTCAAAATCAGAGTCAGCTAGTCACTTAGCGGAAGAGGAAACTTTACAATCCTTGATAAAATGGCCCGCTCTGCCACAACCAAAGCAGCGATAAACAGAAGCTTTTTTCTCCGGTACAGGATTAACCAAAAGCTGACCATCTGGGCGGAAATCCACGATTCTATGTGATGGGCCAAAACTAGCACTGGGGCCGTTTTTGGAAGATGTAGACTGAGACTTAAAACGAGTTCCCATTTTACTTCTCAGACTATTTTTTCGATTTCGTTTCTCCCGAGACCTCTCTGCTTCCTTGCGCGCGACACGAAGTTTCTTTTCTTCTTCGTCATTTTTAGTGAGTGGGTCCGCCTCAAAATATTCTACCACGTCCCAGCCATCCCGGTCAGCAATAGAAATAAGCTTATTTCTGTTATCAAGGAGTGACATACCTTCGTTGGCAATCTTAGTGATGGCGTCATCCGCCCCAGCCCTCTCTAAAATCTGGTTGAACTTATCCTTGACGTCAGTGTTGAACTTGAACTGTTTCTTGTTACTCTTATATTTGAACTCGGGCTCCTCCTCCCAGACTTGCGTTTTAATGAGTCGAGCTGTTCTTTGACAACCTTGACCTCTTGCGTTTTTCGTCTCCAAGGCCTTTAAGATTTCCTTCGCCCACGTTGGGGGCTCAGGGCTCTGCGAAGCCGGCGACTTCTACGGTCTTGACGCTCGCGGACACTCCTTGGCGGCGAAGCACTCGACCAGAACCGCTTGAAGCTGCAACATGAGGCGAGAACTACGACGGCCTGAACCCGATGTTCTCTTGACCTGGACGGCCGGACAACAGGGTCTTCAATGTCGCGTTGACTCTCGAAACATGAGAACGAACTGAAGCAGGGCGACCCACGGCCCCCCGCGCCATATGGACGAGATAGGAAGAAACGAGCTAAGAATTTAACTGTCCGCTTGTAAAAATCCACAATGAAACTTGTTTACTGTTCAGCGAATATATACTTGCTAGTTTACATATCACACCTTCTTCCCATAATCTCACGCCGGCACTTAAAACACACTGCCGACAAATGCACTTGTGCTTGGGAATTCAAGAAACCATTTATCTTTTGTTTCATTACGCTTCGCTACATTCAGGCAAAGATAAATGAACAATTATTGTAATTTTTAGCTTATTTAGTTTGGTGAAGGGCCATTATTTTGTTAGCTTTTGCTGTTGTGTGTTTACCCTCTTTTAAATGAAGTTGATTGATTGATTGATTGATTAATCGATTGTAACCCCCCTGTAATCCCCTGTAACCCTCTGTAACACCCTGTAACCCCTTGTATCCCCCTGTAAACCCCTGTAACCAGGGCCCGGTTGTTCAATATCCTGATTAGCACTAATTTACAATTATTAAATATACTACTGGCAATTAAAATTTAATCTGCGCTTAGGTTGCATTGCTCAAAGCGTGATTAGCGCTAATGTAACTCTATCCGGTGGGTTAAATTCAATACATATTCTGAGGAAGATTAATTCCCTAATCAGCTGATTAAATTTGAAACAAACTGGCCTGCTTATTGTTTCATTTCCTTCATGTGAGACAAAGAGGCCCATGAATTTATCAATACAATCATAGTATACCTGCTTATTGCGACCAAGAGCTTCAGGTTTTCTATGGATTCAGCAGAGCGTTGATTTAGTACATAACACCCATCTCCACCCATGTAGCATTCTTCTTCGCATATGTAATGCTGCCAGAAAATTTAGATCTTATTAGGTCCAAATTTTCCTCAACTTTTTCCGTCAAGATGGTTATATCTAAGTCTGACCCATTATTTTTCCATGGCTCCCTCTGCTTTCCTTTTTCTGTGGATGCCACATTGGAAACCTCAAGACCAAGATGCATTATGGGATACCAGTCATCGATTAGGGAGACAGTAGAAGTGGTTTTACGCCGACTACTAACCGTTATTCAGCAATTACCTAATTGGTCCTCTAATTAAATCACTACCCTTTCTTACACCTGAAGCCTGAAAAAGGAAGGTACCCCTTTTGAGAGGATCCTCCCCAAATAGGCCATTATAGGGAGTACTCCCCTCCTGGGCGTTACTCTAATATGGGTACAATAAAACTGGATACACCAGTTTTGTTACCTGAAGAATAATAATTGTGTATAGTCATGTTATTTAATGTAGTTTTTTTCAGTGTGTAGAGTTTAGATGTTTAATGGCTGATTTTCCTTATGTAGCAATTAAAATCCCATAAGAGAGTCAAGCAGATGGTGAAAGCAGATACAAGCTATGACAAGCGGGTCTTTGTTATCATTGGTGGTGGTGAGTTCTTAATCTCCCTTGTTAAATAGCATTTACCTGGGGGAAAACCACTTAAAAGTGGTGGGAGTGCTTGTTTTACCTTGTGGGGAAAAATTTGTGGTATTCGCCACTTGCACATCTCCCATAATGCACCTTTTTTGCCCTCCAAAATTTTCCAGAACCTTTTTTTTCCATTCCTCCTGGGTATTACAGCCGTCCAAAGAGAAATTTAAAAACAATGCTACCCTAAATTTGGGGGCAAATAAGGTATGGGAAATGTGCAAGTGGTGAATGACATCATGTGAGGTATTTACTGTTATTATAGAGCTGTCATCATGATGGTACCTTAAGGATATTGAACTTTAAAATGACAGCTCTATTTGTTGGCTATAAGATTTTTGGCATCTTAAAAGATTTGGGCTATGCCCATATAGTGTGATTCTGGTACCTTACAGGGTATTTTTTGACTGTTACCCCTATCATTTTTATAGGGAAACACCACCGTGTGGGTTTCAATCCCCCCATCTAGGCTTGAGACAACTATGGGTGTTGATTGTCAATCTTCTCTCCCTCTGACTCTGCCCCCCCCCATACAGACACACTTTGGTAGGCTGAGAAATTCTAAGTTAGCTTCATACGTTGACAATTTCACTGTGAACCAAAGTCTGCAATAACATGTGCTGATACATGTAGGGTTTTGTAATTGTTACCTTCTTGTACAAGCTAAGATGCACCATTCCACATTGAAACCTCTTCAGCCATACTTATTCTTGTTGTTTGGTTAAGTTTTTTTCATTTTTTATTTAATTTTTTTTTCTCACTGTTTTTCTTTTAATTAATTAATTTAGACCTAACTGGGCTAAAATACCACCCTCCATCTTGGATATTTCTTAAAATTACTACTGTTACATGTATAATTGTTTCCATGTCATTGTTGCTGTCATTGTACAAAAACTTTCATTACTATTTTTTAACTCATCATAGGTGGTTCAGCCATGAAAGGAGCAGAAACACTCAGAGAGGAAGGATTTAAAGGTAGCAAATAAACTTTATATGGGATGGAGCCAATCAAAATAGTTTTAACCTGTAATACACACATTTCCTTAAAGAATTAGTCAAGAGATTTGTGTTTAAATATAAGGCTGTAACAATCCATTGAACTATCAATGTGAAATTAATGCTGCAATAAGCAATAGGCCGATTGAAACATTGATAACAATCGTGATAGTGTAGCGAACTATTGATAGTTTATATAGTTTCTATACTTCTAACATTTTGACCTCTTTGGAAAAATAATCTACCATCCTATTGCACCTAGACATAGAATGTTAATGTCTGATTCTTGAACCGCATATGTACCTGTATTGTATGACCAGCACTTCTTAGTTATTTCTTAAAGTAAAGTAAGGTAAAAACAGATATTCTTGAAGACTATCGCAATACTTTAGCAATAGTACCTCCCTTATCGCAGTACTATCGGAATAGCCATGTGGCTTATTGCAATACATATAATTTCAATAGTTCAAATTTCCCCAATGGCCACCGCTGTTTAAAGATCAAAATGCTCATTTTCCTTTAAAGGGTTAACATCTATTTTTGTAGACACCAATGTAAAGTTTGCAGTCTTAAAATAATTATTGTACTTTCAGGCCGTGTTATCATGGTTACAAAGGAATGTCACTTGCCTTATGATCGACCCATTCTAAGTAAGGTTAGTGTACAGCTAACCATTTTATTATGCAAAAATTTTTTAGAAGGCCTTCTAAATATGAGAGCAGCAAAATCAAGGGAAATTATGAAGGATTTTATGGAGGTCGCTTTATTTGGCTAAAACATCATGGTTGATAAACTAGCAGTAACCGGTGGTTAGGAAGTGCTGGAGAACATGTGGGTTTACATTAGAGACGTGATTGATGAGAAATGTTCTGATGATAATATTATTGACGGGTTTCCAAGAAAAGGGGTGCTTGTGTTTTCCTGGTAAACAGTCAAAGCGCCCATTTTCTAGGAAAATGTCAGCAGCAGATCATCAGCATGGAAACTGAATTGAACAACATAGTAAACAATGCTCATATATAATTCAGCGATTATATTCACAGTTACTTAGGTACAATTAGCCTGCGAATGGTGAGGAGTGATGAGAGAAGGCTGTATTGGCAGGCAAAGATACAATGAAACAGTAATGCTTGACACAAATAATTATGACTGCACAAAGTCTTATTATTCAATCGAATATTCAATCCATGTTCAATGACCAAAGGCCATTGATCTCCAATAGTAAATACTGAAAAAGCTTTAGTTTACCACCGGAGTTTAAAGCCTATTGAAGCTTTCGAGGTGACAAGCGACGTAACGTGCTTGGAAACATGTAAAAACTTTAAAAAACCATGCACTGAAGTGAAACCTGAAAAAACTTAATTTACATGGATTTCTAAACTTTGCTAATACTCGCAACTTACTGAAAACAATAAAATCAGAAAATAAAATAATGTAAACCTTCAGCAAAATTTATAGTTTAAACTTTCCAGTGCTTGGAAATTTTAATACAAAAGAAGTAAAAAACCTATCATTGTATTTGTTTAGCCATGATATTGACGGGCAATCAAATGGTATACTTCAGTTAACGTTTCTCTTTGTAGAAATTATCTGCCAGTGCTGATTCAATAAAGCTGCGATCAGATGAATATCTCAAGGAATATGGCATTGAATTCCTCTATAATGTTGAGGTAAGGACTTGGGTGTCAGTGTACCATGCACTTTACAGTGAAGTTGTGATAGCCTTGACTCTTCAGTTTCAATTTATAAATGCCATTTAAAACTAACTGAAATATTGTTGCTGCTTTCTTTATTTAGGCCACCGCTCTAGATTCTAACAAAAAGACTGTCTCGTTAAGCAATGGGACAGAGTTAAACTATGACAATGTTTTGATTGCCACTGGTGGCAAGTAAGTACTATGAGATATTTTTATATGTATTTTATGTTGTTTTTGTTGTTTAGTCTGCCTCAATGCTGATGCCTTAGCTTTATGTTTTGTCTTGCCAAGTTTAGTTCAGTTGATTGTCACTCTGTTGTATGTGTTACAGTAGGTCAAATTTGATTTCAGGTTAATTTTGATTTAGCCTACAATCATGGACAAAAGTCTTGGGACACTTCTGCATTTCTGGGGCATTTTCCAATTCACACAGGTCCAACCCCTCCCCTCTCCCCACAAAAAATGTTGGACGAGTGTATCCAGAATTTTTTCCCAAGTTTCAACTTTGTATAGGGTGGGGGGAGAGAGAACTGCAAGAAAATTTCGAAAAAGATGCACTGTTTTATGAGGGAACCAAGAAATGACAGAAAAATATGAATATTGCAGTACTGTCCCAAGGACTTTTGTCCATGATTGTAGGTTGACTCTCAATTTCCAATGTCTCCTAGCCATAGAAGACAAAGGAAATTGAGAATCAACCCAGGTTAAAAAAATTTTGACCTGAAATCAAATTCAACCGGTAACATGCATCCATATCATTTTGTGATGAAGTCTTCTCTTTCATTAACAGGCCAAGAAGTTTGAATTGCCCTGGAGTTGATCTAGAGAATGTTATGCTGTTAAGAAGTCCTGAAGATGCAAATAAGATCGGTTTGTTTTTAACTTTACATCAACAATTTGATTTTCATTTTACATATTTTGCTACCTATAGTCACAGGAAGCTAATCAATAGATGGTGAGGAAAATCAAACAAATGGAAAGAAAGACTTAAGCTAAATTATTTAAAAAGCCAAAATAATATATTACAATATATTACTCACAGTATTATTATTTTAATATAACTATTGTATGTCTTTCCACAGTCGAGTTGGTTCCTGGAAAGAATGTAGTCATCATAGGAACATCATTTATCGGTATGAATAATCTAACACTAAACAGCATGTTATGGTCGATCCCATTTAATTCTTGAGTCTGTGTGAAATCCAATGGCATTACCATTCAAATAAAACCTCTTTAGCAGAATTTTCCCTTGGTCCTTTGTTTATCAGCAATTTGCAATAGAAAATATGACACTTTTTTTAAAATTTTGATTCTGAACTCTTTACCGTAGGTATGGAGCTGGCATCAAATTTTGCTGACAAGGCAGCCTCAGTGACTTGTGTTGGTAGAAGCAATATTCCTTTTGCTAATATTTTTGGAGAGAAAATTGGTTCTATGCTGAAAAAGGTATTGCAAGTTGTCTTCCTGTAGTAGTAGTTAGAAATAAGAACAAACTCTACGACACTTACAGACAGAAGAAACCCTGCATATGGTTTATGATTACAATATTTGTCTTTTGAAAACTATTTTGAAAAAAAAATACCAATATCTTGAGACAGAGAGGTAAAAATGCTTAGGTGTTAGGTGAAAAATTGTCTGGAATCCACACAGACAAGCAAGGTTTCACTGCTAGTGACCAGACGACGATCGAATAGTATCCCATGATGCACCTCGATTCATGTTATATTATCACTGCGTGGGTGACACATTATGATCAGTAACCTTCAGCACGCGCGAAGTGAACATCGATCACAGTGCTCGATGTGGATGGTTTCCAAACATGTTTCGGTTCAGCAGCTTCTGCTTTTGAGATTATCGAGTTGGGTAATATTCACTGTGCTTTAAAGGAGAATTTCAGCGTTGCTTTGACTGAGAAGGGTTTTACATGAATTTCACTGATCTGTCGAGAACTACTTGTGCCGCGTTCGTTCGCACTGTAAACACAAATTATAAGACTCGCAATTGATAAGCTTCGCTAGGTTCACTAGGAGAACCCAGGCCAGAGGAGAACCAAAACTATGACTGATCTATAAAGTGGTTCCAACAAAACATCCGCTACGCTGTGAAGCTAATTACCAAAGGATAATTTATTACAGCATCGCACTCAAAGGAGCTGAAGTTTACAATGGCAGTTACAAATAAAATTTAACCTATCGATGCGACAAACAATTCTCTGAAGCACAGTCTACCCGGTACTGACTCAAGCAATCTTCAAGGAAATTTCCTGGCCAGAATACTGATCTGTTCTTTTGAATAAATAAAGTTTCTGCATAATGTTTCTTTTTCAAATTCTGAGCAGGCTTCAGTTTACGTTGTGCCGGCTTGCATGCTGCGTGGTTCCTTTCTTTGGGTTCTTTTCACACTGAAACACACCGTTATACACCGCTCCTTCTTCGAATTAAAATAATTATAGTCAAATTCCTTTTAAAAATAACCTCTTTGAAAATACAAAGTGATTGCTTCGGCATAAAGCGCTCTCAAAAGCGCCCAACAGATTGTAGCCTTCATCAGGCGTTACACATATATTATGACACATGGCGTTGAAATGTGATAAAAGATTCGAAATTTCAGCCATCTTTGGTCGACAAAAAAGTCTTCAAAATGTGGGTACTTCTGGGTACTTCTTGGCCTGTACAATATTCAGGACTTCGTTTTGCTGGCGTGAGGTCCACATTTGTAAGATTTCAACATATATTCCAAAAACCTTGAATATTCATGACCCGGTTGTGGGTCACTGAACACTTTGTGATGGGAAGACTAATTGAAACCGTGAAAATAAATGTTTCTAAGTGGAAACTTCGCTCTTAAGCCATTGCAAATCGGAGAAATCATGTCAAATAACGAAATAATGTAATTTTTTTACTTTTACTGGAAATCGAGTGAGAAAAAAGCCGACGAGAAAACGACCTTATTTCAAGATGGAATCTGCTATGACTGCGATATTGCGTGATGCTTCTGGAAAAATGCATCATGGGATACTATTCGATCCTCCTCTGGCTAGTGACGTAAGTCTTAAAAAAATAGGATGAAGTCAGTTAATTTATATGATTGAGTGATTGAAGTTATCCTGTATGATTTCCCTCGTTACATTAGGAGGCTTCAAGAAAAACATACTCTAGTAAAATAGTTATTGCCAACGATAGATTGAGGCACACAAAAAAATTTCCATTATTGTGTTTTGGAGTGAAATTTTATGTTTGTTTTTATTGCGTTTTCTTGTCTCCCAGGTTCATGAAAACAAAGGTGTGAAATTCATCACTGATGCAGCTGTAAAGGAATTTAAAGGAGAAAATGGAAAAGTAGGAAATGTAGAATATTGAATAGCAAAATTAATGTCGTCATACATTTCACCTGTTTTATTCAGTTCTTCCTAGACCAAAAGCTGTCTCTATTTTTTCTTAGTCCATCAAGCGAAACGCACGAGACAGGAAAAATATGACCTTTTGGGGACTGAAGGCCCATGCACTCCTTTCACTAAATCTGAAGAAAAAAAGAGACTTCTCCCATTCTAAGTTCTTCCTAACTTAAAAGTCGGAGTTAAGAAAACCCATTTATTTGGGTTCGATTCATGTTTCACTGTTTAAACGTTAAAAAATCACAGAAGAAAAATACAGTGAAGAACAATATAATTATTAATATTGTCAAAGATGAATGTTCTGGTGGACTATCAATCCTTTCAGTTTAGTTTTCCAATATTTTGACCAGGAACTTTGCTTGGAGGTATCCAAACATGTACTCAGTGTGGAAGCAATGCAAGAATACTGATTATACCCAAGCAAAAAAATTAAAATAAAATCCTTTTCTTTGTATGAGCATTACAACGTGCCATTGTCTTGTATTCACCCCCTCTCAATAAATGCCCTTTCTTTCTCCCCTGTAGCATCGAAGTAGGCATGATTGAGTTAGTTTGTGGTAAAACTCTGTTTTATCATTTAGTTAACAGCAGTTTGCTTCGACAATGGCACAGAAATTCCTGCAGATATTTGTATTCAAGGTGTAGGTAGGTTGTACTTTATTGACATGGTTTAATGCTGATTTTGATATTATAGTGAAATGCATTAATGAATTATTGCACATGAAAGATGAAAGAGCATGTGATATGTTAAATGATCACTCTAAGGCTTAGTCTGCTACACAGCCGTTTTTAGTGCAACGGGGAGGAGCATTGCGTGACGACACTAAAAACGGCTGTGTAGCAGACTATCTAAGGCTTGACTTGGAATCAAACCTTGGCCTTTGTAATGATTGGACGCCACACACTACCCAACTGAGCCAGTCAAGCCAACAGGATAGTAGGCCATTATTGTGAATTTTTAATATTTCTGATAGTTGAAATAAAAAGAGAAGAAATTTTGGATTGAATCAATAAAGTGCAAATGGAAAAGTTATCTTGTAGTCAGTTGATTTACCCATTGATCCTTCCAAAATAAACGGGAAGGCTTTTTTTAAGTGGAGTCAAGTAGTCTAAACAGGCCTACGTGTTTAGAAAGTGAAAAGGACGCGCACCTTAGTAGTAAGAATTGATTTTTTGCTCGCTCACGTCTTTCGCTCACTCTGCCATCTCTGAGAAAATCAGTTATTTCTGATATTGCGAATTAAAGGCAAATGGGCTAGGCAATGAAAAGAACTTACTTGATTCTCTGTTGTGTGTAGTGTAAGTGGTTGCCTTTGTCTTCTCTAGGTGTTATCCCTTCTACGGATTTCTTGAAGTCTAGTGGAGTACCATTGTCCAGTCGTGGGGATGTAGTTGTTGACAAAGTAAGTGATGCAATTTAGGCAAATCAGCCATGAGTAACAAGCCACTAACTTAACAAGTGCAGTATAAAAATATCCGCATAGAACGGAGAAGAAGCTTTCCAAGGAAACACTCAACAAATTTTGATATGGGGAGGTTTTGCCCTGTGGCCCAACCTCTTACCCTTTCAAATACTAGTTTTTACAGACAAGCTACCCATTTCGTATACCTTTCATTGGTAAATGGTACCTCTTTCACTACCAAATATAGAACGCTGAAGAATACCTGAAGCCTGAAAAGGTATCCTTTTCGGGCGGAGCCTCCTCGTATAGGCCATTAAAGAGAGTAACCCTTCCCCGGGGCCTCCCGACTGAAGCTTGATGAATGTGATCTGCACTGTCAGTGGGCCTCCCCTCTTCCCACATACCCCTCCCCTTTCTTCTTCTTCTTTTTCTTCATCTGTTGCATTCCTCCCCCACCTCTTCTCGTCCCATCCCAGCTTACCTCACTAATAAACGTAGCTAAAGAATTACATCCTGCACAGAACCAACAGTTACTCGAAGACTATTTTGGGAATTTGAGGCCCATTTCCCCACAAGCAGAAAACTAATTTAATGTTGTTTTTACGAAGCTCCAAAGATATCGAAGAATAGGTCAGTTAGGTAGCTGTTCGTCATAGTCGGAAGTGACGGCTGCTTCTGGTGGGAGGTGGTTGGGGCGAGGAGAGGAAGTAATGCTTTTCGCTTCCGGCTGCTTTGTTTAAAAACGTCTTGTAATTTTTACAGTACCTGAAGTCATGCGAGGGTGTGTTTGCTGCTGGAGATATTGCACACTTTCCTCTAAAGATGTTGAACGGAGAGGCGGTTTCTATCGGTCACTGGCAGATCTCTCACAAGCATGGTGTGTATGGCTTTTTTATTCGCCACTTTGCCACAGAAACGAGAAGGAAACTGGACCGAGTTAACTTTCGCAAAGACTTCTGGGACTGTTACTAGGGGAAGGGGAAAAATTGGCCAATAGCAGAACGACGCGTCACTAGTAAGGATCCCAAGAAACAATTGCAGGACGCTTTTTGGCTTCAGTTCCCTTTTCGTTGCTAGAGTAGCTAATTCTTCAGCTGTTGATTGCTCAAAACGCACTTCCTGCTTTGTAGACTGCGAGCAGTCCCTCAGGATGGTTACGCGAGCGAGGAAATCGAGCGAAGCGAGCGAAAGCCGAGGGGAAGCTGGGGAGGAGGCGCCTCTCTCCAGTTTCCCTCTTGGCCAATTCGCTCTCTCCAGTCCTGCCGAGCTTAGACTCGACTGACTGAAGAGGGACTGCTCGCAGTCTACCTGCTTTGTTCACTTCTGTCGGGAACTTTCATGTCATGCACTGCATTGTGTTTTCATTCAGGTCTCACAGCTGCGCGTAACATGCTTGGACGAAAAGAAGAGATCAACACTATTCCTTTCTTTTGGACTTCGCAATACGGCAAGAGTATCCGATATTGTGGTAAGTTAAACTCATTGTTAACTCATCTGCAACATCGATTTGTTATTATTTTAGATCTGAAACTGGTGTAAGTATTGGTTCTTTAACTTAATTCATATTTCTTTAAAATACCACAAAGGCAAGGCCTCAGGAGCTGTAATAACATTTTTTAGTCCCTGTGCATACCTCTGTTTTAATCTTTACCAAGGGATGTATGTACTTAGATGAGCCCAGGATCGGAAGAAGGGAATGAAAGAAAGACTACTTTAAGCAAATTCAATTTTTCTTTGCCTGGCTTTAGTTCAACTCGACTCAAAGAACCTGGGAACGAGGTTGCAAGAAAATAATGATTTCATCACTCACCGCGCATGTCTCGTCACTTCCGTCAACGCTTGTCTCTTGAAAGACCAGCTAGAGCGAGAAACAGAACAGTGGTGCATAGCGAAAAAAAAAACTGCAAGGAATTGTTTTCTTGACAAGACCCTCTTTTCATAATCATCGTCTTTATGGTCATCATCATCATCATTACATTCACTATTACAGTCAGTATCATCAACAAATCACCGTCCATCATCAAGAGAGTCATCTTTTATCATTAAGTGCGAGAAAAAAGGTGTGAGAGAAAGTGGCGCGAGATTTTTCATCCAATAGCGAAGTCGTGACTGGTTTTGGTATACACTCTGATGGTGGAGAAAATTTAGATTTTTTGACTGGTTTTAGTATTTATTCTGACTGGTGAAAAAATCACAAAGTCATTACCAGTTTCGGTTTGGGTGCTGAAAACTGAGTGAGATTTTCAGCCAATCAAAAGGGTAAGCATAGGAATCCTAAGTCGAGGACGGCCCTTGAAACGAGATGCCAGCTTTTGAATCTTCATTGGCAAATAACTTTACCATGTTCAGTTGATGAAATCATTTTGTTTTGTTTCATTCCCCCTGCGAGGCAGCAGCATAGTTTCTTGTAGACTAAATACTTGACCATAACAGTTATGTAATTACTTTCGATACTCAACTGTAACGTGCTGTATTCCCAAAACAACCACTTGATTTGTTTTGCTGTGTTTTAGCCCTCACAACGTGGTGACATTTAGCCACCATTTCACAGTGTGCTCTCCTTCAGGCCTGCCTTTTAATTCACTCTTTTTGATTCTAGGTCATGCAAAATCTTTTGATGATGTTATCATCGAAGGAGATGTAGATGAACAGAAATTCACAGCTTACTATGTCAAGTGAGTCTACTAGGTTTCTTTGATGCTGCTCAGTCCACGCGCCAGTCGTTAACGACTGGTTTTGATTCGTTTCCTGTAACGCACTATACACATAAGACAGCCTAACAGAAAGCCTGTACACCATATCAGTAGCTGTAGGGCAAACTAGAACTATACCTAATAGGCGTGGTCTATCATATTTCTTTATCGTTCAGAAGTCACTTACAGGTAGTAGTAGCAGTAGTGGTAGTGGTAGTGGCAGTTGTCGTGTTCATGGTTACTTTTACAATCTGTACAAGACATGACGCTGATTTAGTGCTAATATTGGCTTACTAAAATTTAGAGAGGGCTTTACAATTCATATAGTAATGGAGCTCACAAACGGACTGATATCCGCAGTCAGTGTGGCGCTATTATATGCTTAATGTTCATCATTACCTTACCTTACCTTACCTTACGTTACGTTACGTTACGTTACATTACATTACACCTCGAGCCCGATTTTAGTAAAATCCAACTAGTTGGTCAAAAATATCGAGACAAAACAACTTTAGCTAGCAAAACGCGATTCAGCCGCCATTGTTTTGGTTTTAAAAGCCGGCGCTTTTCGCTACTAGAGGGCTATAACATATAGCCTAGTAGTAGCTCAACCAATCAGAACGCAACATTGGTAATAGGCAACTAGTTGGATTTTACTAATACATTACATTACCTCCATGCTTGATAGTTTTGTCTCTTGTTTCTCCAGAGGTGACCGTGTTCTAGCTGTAGCTACCATGGGGCCTGGGAACGCCTGTGCTAAAGCAGCTAATCTGATGTTTGAAGGAAAAATGCCTTCTGGTTCTGAGATAAAGTAAGGCAACTCTATAGTGATACCTTTCATGGTACCAGGAAATTCTATCCATATTTTTTTTTATCTCGACCAAGTTGTCAAGTATTGTCGTAGAATACCACAAACTGCCGCATATAAGCCCTGGGCCTATACATTCATAAGGGGTTTATAACCGGAATAGAAAAAGCCCTTGTAAGAAAGCTATAGCAGTGCTGATCGAAATATTTTCTGCCTTCTCTGGCTTTGAATTAAGCTTCAAAACGGTCATAATAAATCGAGTTCATTTCAATACATTGGGGTTTGGGGGCGGGGGGGCGACTTTCGTATGACCTGGAAATGAAAACGCGCGAACAAAACAGAAAACAACGAACGAACGGAACTAATGCGATTTGATTGGTTTATTGAGCGAATACAAACGCGCGTGGCTTTTGGTTGGTCAAGTAAACGCTCGGGTCAAAAAACTTCATGATCAAGAACTTTCTGGAAATCAACCTGATACTTCGCTTTGACGTCATACTGCAGCACGATTTGCCAATCAAACAATGCCTTCTCCATATTAGGATTTTGTTTGGCCGGAGAACGAAGAGGCCATGTTTTGATCTTTTCATCCATTGGCTGATAAAACAAATAACGAACACTTGCCGAAACCATTTTCGAAGGTCATACGAAAATCGCTTTAAGTGCGTCAAGATTATGCAACATTTGCCCCACACTCGAAGTTCATTGATCTCTGAGTAAGTATTAGATAAACAAAGCTCGAAGGTCGTTTCATTTAGTGTCACCTTTCATTGTGGGGTGTCAAAGTTCGCCTTGGATTTTTAGTCCAGTGAAGGTTCCTGTTTGGGTTGTTTTCCAACGTTTTAGCCTCATCAGTAGTCTTTTATTGGTCTGTGTCCTCTTGCCGTTGACAAACGTGTCGATACAGTTATACCAAAACATTACTCACACTGGGTTAGCGTTGTTTATGTTCCCACGGTCAGTAAACCCAAACATGTCCACGGCCTACTGCCTTAGCTATTAAGTTTCTGCATACGTTGTAGTTGGAAGATTATAGTTTTAAGCGATAGACCTGGTGTACCAATTAGTTGTAATCAGGACTAAAAAAGTCAAAATGTGACAAAGTCTTGGTACCTCTTCGCTTGGTGAGCGAGTCACTCACACAACACCCCTTCAGTTAACCTTGTTCCCAGGTTCTCTCTCCTAACCTCTCTCGCTCCGTAGGGTCGGGTCGGAGAGAACTCTGGGAACGGGCTTGCCCTACAGTACCCCCAAAGTTCACATCCCATTTACCATGTCCATGGGAAATTTAACTTATGCTCTGTTATTTTCGCGGATGATACTTTTCTCGATTGGCTTCATACTAACGAAAATTAAGTTACCAAAATTTCATGCAACAACAGTATATTGCAAATCGCATATAAATTAGCCTGCGTGGCGCGCATTCGAAGGGGAAGGGAAAGGGGATTTTGGGCGCGGGAGGAGAGAGGGAGTTAGGGTGAACCTCCCTCCTCGCGCGCCTCTCACGTATCTATCCCCTGCGAACGCCTGCCACACAGGCTACATATGAAAATGATACTTTGCATAGTCGGATTTTTTTCTATTTCCTCCGGAATCGCGAATACCAGATTTTCCCCGAAATGTAGTACGCGCGAGAGTTAGTGAGAATTAGGTATTGTATGTTTTGCTCTAGCCTCTAGCCAACACTGGTTCTGATTTTGTTCTTTTCTGTTTTTTTCTTTTAGGGCCAGTCTTTGAACCACCGACGCAACATACAGTGACAGAGTAGTCGAAATAGCAAAGGGAAAACTTTTTTATTGCCGTAACTAGATTCACACTGTAATACTGAAGCAATATAGTAGGACAAGGATAGGATTCTCCTAGATAGATATATCCTCATTACTAAAAACCTTTACAAACGAAATAGCTTATGGTTATCAAACGGTATTTGAGATATGTATAATAACTAAGAAGTACTGCGCGAGTCCAGGGCGGGCCATTAATCCTCTTAGGAACACTTAGTATTAGAAAAATGAATAGAGACACCCGTATAACTTTCTGGTAATTTTGTCAAGAGAAAGAAGGGGCAGTTTTTTACTCACCCCCTTCTCGAAGAGTACAGAATTTATTTAAAAGAATCCGTCCAGCGACTGCCCTTTCATGATGGCAAGCCGGAGCCCCTGTTCGTTACAGCGTTTAGAGGTTGAGGTCACGTCTGATTCGCCGTCTTAGGTTCCCTGTGTGCGCGTCGTTATCTTTGAGTGCCTGTGTGATCTGTATTCGGCCACAACGGGACCATTCATCTGTTTGGTATTGGAGCTTGTACAGTAAATACTCGTTATTAATTCCGGCAATGATTCACAAATCATACCATCGAGCTTCCAGGGAAATATTATTTGTGCTCAACTGGTATCTTCTTCTTCAAAGATCTCTCATCATCCATAGACGCACTTTGATGCTGGATTATTCTTGTCTCTCTTCTCAGCAAGCCTGATAGCCTGCGATGGTGTACTCCGTGTCCATTCACAGGTGTCTGTTATCCAACATCTCTGTGGTCTAGATTATTTTAAATTAGTTTATTAATTTTTATGAAACTTATGACGATATGGTTTACAACCGTTCTTGTTGTATTAAGCCTTAATTTATCACATTAGTCTGTTCATATATTTAAAAATCCTTCAGCCTTGCTATACCACAGACAACCCAAAGTCGAAAAGTCTTTCGTTGACGTCAAAAGTTCGGCGCTTATGTGCTAATCGTGGGTTACCTGTGATGAAGCTTAGACATTCACCCTATTGTTCAGTTATTTAAATACATGTAGGAAAAGCTAGTGACAACCGCAAAAACAAGAAGGAATGCTTACCTGTAGAAGCGTTAGCCAAGCCTTTAATAGCGAATATTGTATATTTTTTTAAAGTATCCCCGCTTCGATAATATAACGGTATTTAGCATGTTTCATTTTGAACATGTTTTTACACATTGTTATAATCTAGATAGAGAAAAATGATTAAATAAATAGCAGTTATAACACTGTGTTTTGTCCATCTTGTTTTCATCCTGTTTTGTGTAGCTTATCATGTGGCCCTCTCCCCATCCTACTCCCCTTACCAAGTATGCCTCCGTGGCTCATACATTTTGCACAACTGGTCCCAGTTTTTCAAAAGGCGGATAACAGTGGCGGATCCAGACCTTCATATCAGGCGGGGGGGCGGTCATCCAGACCCTGAGATAAGGGAGGGGGACGGTCCCCCCAAATTTTTTCGCCCCTTTGGGCCTGAGTTTGGTCTAAAAATAAGGGAGGGGACGGCCCCGCAATTGGTTTCCGTAAAACCTTTGCTGGTCAGTGTTTTATCCGGTGGATAGCATTATCTAACGTTATGGACACTCATGGACTCGGTTCTATCAAATACGAAGCTGCAAAGCTCTAGAACTCACTTGCAGACGATATGAGAGTAACAACATCAACCAATGACTTTAAAAGGTCCTTAAGAAATTTGAATTATCATTAGAATTACTTTTAATAAGTTTAAATGACGTAAATAATTTTCAATAATTTCATTTTATTTTCTCGGAAACATTAGCTCAATAGAGCTACTCTGTAAATTACAGTGGAACTAATTTTTGATTCTGGTAAAAATTTTGTTATGTCAACTGAAAGAAAACATCACTACTAGAACTTCTTCGAAAAAAATTGCCTCTTATTCAGCAGATGAGAGTTTTTTTATAAATGTTCAGAGGCTAAATCTCTTGGTAGTTACTTGGTGTATGGGGACATACATTGTACCCACTTTTATTACACAGACTCTATCAATGTTGCTCTGTTATCTCGTTATTTATCTGCCTCACAGTTCCGGAAGTTTCGGAGGCCAGACCAAGACGAATGGAGTGCTAAAATGGCGGCAAGTTTAAAAAAATCTTTAAAAATCACGTTTTCAAATCGCAAACTTTTCGCAGAAGTTTTCTTAGTAATGAGTGCTTTCAATTTAAAAAGTAAAATTTTTAAGGTTGTGGACACTAACTTTAATTGAAGGCCTGGGGCCCGTTTCTCGAAAGCCCCAATAACTAACGGGCCCGGTAAGCTGTCTCCGTTTACATTAAAGATCGAGGTTTTAATAGTTTTCCATACAACACGATAAAATTGTCAGTTAATGAAACAAAATGGAGTTGTTCCCCAGCCAGGACCCGCGCTCTTATTCTTTAGATTTCGATTTGAATATTTGATTTCGGGCCCGTAAAGTTACCGGGACTTTCGAGAAACGGGCCCCTGATTAGGATGCAGTTACGCTGACAACGGCGAGAAGGAAACGCGAGTGACTGGTAACGAAGCGCGAAGGACCACGGGAAGCAGAAATTCCATCTCGAGAGAGGTCTGGGAACAAGGAAGGAAGGCGGGCGTTTTCGTTTTTCCCGCCATTTTTTGCGGCTACACAATTGGCTGCGTCTGCAACATGTAGCATATGACTGTCGTAGCATATGTTATGTTAAAATAAGAAAAGTTTTCTTCACTGAAGCTTCAAACAAAAAGAAAGAAAACTCTTTAAATCGCTTTTAAATGTTTGAGCAGTCGACAGGACTATGCCTGAGCCGACATAAAGAAAAAAAATACATCTAGGTAAGTTCTTCAATTCTTTATAGAGCAAAATTGACCAAGCTATTGACAGAGGAAGCTTCCATCCAAGGTTTATGTCACGTTGTTTCGGATAATTTTATCATATCACACTGTACTTGGTACTATTAATTCCTACCTTTATACTACTACATGAGAAATTTCTGCAATTTGATTGGCTTAGAGCAGTGGTATTCCAGCTTAATTTGGAATACCTACATGTGAAAATTTCAAACCTTTTGCAGGTAGTAGTATAAACAAATAATAGCATGATTTGTACGTGATATTTGGCATAAATACCACCCGTGATATTTCAAAATTGTCTCAAATTTCACTCGCCTAACGGCTCTTGAAATTCCGTATAACAATTTCGAAACATCACTCGTGGTATTTATGCCAAATATCACTACAAACCATGCTATTACCTGTAATAATTTTTGATCGCTTTTGCAAGTTGGCTAAGGCGACACAAAATTAAGTACGAATTTTCTGCAGTTATGAAACCGGGCCCTAACTTTCAAGGAAGCATTGCTGTGGCAATAGGCTTGAAACAAATGTTGCGGACGCATTAAAATGTTTATAGATGACGTCAAACATTTTTTGTCTCTAGTACATAAGTTCCTAACCTAAAAAAAAAAAAAAACCTTTTTGAAAGAATATTTATTAATCATTGTCACAGTTGATCTTCAATAGTCCATTTCCGAGATTCCCCAAGCCTCTATTTGAATGCGAGGTTAAGGGAGGGTTCATAATTTATGTAGAGGGGGCTATGGCGTTTTTTTGGGAGGGCCACGAGTTTTACTGGTTAGGTTTAAGGGGGAGGCGAGCTATCGAGAATTTCTGCCAAAATGACTAAAAAGGAGGCATTACAGAGATTAAGCTTCACGTATACGGCAAAAGCCAGATTCAAGTTGAGAATTTTTAAAAATGAAAATGAGCAGATAAAAACAGTTCAAGAGTTCTAATCTAGGTGTAGAAATAATGAGAGGCGGAGAGAGGTCATGTATTTTGTTTATAGATGAGCAAGGGCACGAAAAAACACACCAAATAATAGGGTGGTACTTACTAAAAATTGAACCTGAAAAATGCCAAAATCACCACAGCCACATCTACATAAATTATGAACCCTTTCTGGGTGCGAAGTCATTTAAGAGAAAATGATATTTCAGATATTTTATTCTCACTCAAAGGAAACTCATTATCACAAGAAAGTTTTACACGTAGCCTCGCTTTGAAAGTAGGCCACTTTTGATTCCAGGCCTCAACGTTCTTACACTGTGATAGGTCAAGAAAAGAGCAACCCTCTTTGTTTCTCTTGTCATTTGTTTTGCATTTTATTTACTTGTTTGTTAGTTCGTTTTGTTTTGTTTACTTTTCAACACCGACCAATTTTGAGGTGAGCCCGAGCCAATGATATTATTAAAACTCAAACGGGGAACGGGAAGATGAAAAAATGGAAACAAAACGGTAATGGGCAAGGAAAAAACTGACAGGGTTACTGACATTTTTTTCCCATTTTTCATTTTCCTTTTCCCTATTCACCGTTTTGTAACATCCCTGAGCAAGAGCTTACCCTGAGACAGAGCCACAAATGAATGTTTTTCATTGGGGGGGTGGTGTATACGTGATCAGAACTTAGGTTGAGTTAAACGACAAACAACATAGCATATACTAATGTTCAGTAAACATTTAATGCACTGGTTGTGACAATTTCTCTATATTGCTCATGTTTAAACGGCTAGAATACACTGTTTTTAACTAAACTTCACCCTGAGCTATCTCCTTCATCTTAGAATGTTCTTTAGTTTTTCCCATTCTCTGCATCAACAATCTCACAAAAAAGTTTACTGTCCATTTCCGAGTTCCAAAAACTGTCATTCTCAAAATGAGGCTAAGTGCAACACCTTTCTTGTGAAAATGAGTTTTGTTTCAGTTGCATGAGAATAAAAAAATCATTTTTCATATCAACAGCGTCGCACTTAGCCTCACTTTGAAACAGAGGCTTGCGGCAGCTCGGAAATGGCATATTTTATGAATATGCCCCATGGACCAAGCTTGAACTGGAGGTCTATTCGTGAACAGACCGACACTGTAGTAGAATGGAATCGCATCAGCTCAATGCCTCATTTTTCTCCCTTCTATGGTTGCAGTAAGGACACCATGACGTGATGGATTAGTGCCTCAAATCGAGTGTCTATTCAACAGAGATTTAGACTATGTTCACTCAAAACCGGATAGCCTTTTATGCCGACAAGAAATCTATCCGGTAAAGTATGAACACCACTTATCCGAAAGGTGATCCTTCACTCTCAAGATCGGCGCGGTGCAGCTTCGATCCGTTACAGAAATCGCGCCGAAATTACCGTTCTCGTCAGTGAACAGAAGCCCTATCCGGTACAATTTTCGTCCTCGCGCAAGAGTTATCCAGTGGTGTGTGAACGTAGCCTTACAGGACTGGTTTATCTGGTTTTTACGACTCATCTTGTCCAACGCATCGCGTACGAAAATTGCATTGTCACCATAAAACGCACAAACGATCCCAAACTAACGGGTCTTATTACGAGAATTGCTACCCCTTATAGGTGGGATAATAGTCCATCTCACGGTTATCCTAGCAGTTTGTCGCAAGTACCCGTGCAAGCTCGTCCAAAGGGTTCTTTACTATCCGTCAGGGACAATGCGAAGCAAAGTTTCTTGATCGAGAAAACAAAATGGTCACACGATATGGGCAAAAACAAGCGGCTTTCAGATATCAAATTCATCTTGTTTTATCCGGAGATGACCATGACATCTTCAATAAGTTATTCTTGCTTGTCTTTTTTCTCGTCTTTTCTGTCTTCATCGTCTTTTCCTCTGTACCAAATTATTGCTTGTCTAAGAGACAACAAAACTGGAAGGCTGATGGGGAGAAAGAGAGGAATGTAGATGGCGTACCTGCGAGGAAAAACAAATAAACCATATTACCGTTAGAGTCAGGGATTGTACTTAACCCGTGAAATAGGTGGTAGTTACGCACTGTTATACACTAATTCCACAGTCTACTTTTGTTTACTTGGAGCTTTGCTGTAGTTGTTAGTACCTGCTTCATGGGTCAAGTAAAATCACTCTAATCATTGGTAACAATAATAAAACAAGAGTTAAAAATATAACTGCTTACTTTTGATCGTCAGGGAAATACAAAAGCTCAAGTATTGATGGGTCAAAAAATGCTTCCTCTGAAAGAAAGGACACTGAGTTGATTACAAGTGAGAATGAAACGTCATTGTATCGCTTATCATTTTACTAGAATCTTATCATATGGGAATGGATGTGGCCTGCGTAGCAAGCGTTTCCGTGCGGTTTAGGAGCGAAGAACGAGGAACGAGAGCCAAAAACCGCGCGAAAAATGGCTCTCGGTTCATTTATCGCGCGGCCAAAACCGAAAATCCCGTTCCTCGGTCTTTCTTTGATCCGAAACCAAAAGGAAGAGCTTGCTACGCAAGCTAGAATGGATGGAGCTTACCATATCTTAAAAGAAAGTGAAGAACAACGTCACTAACAGATTATATATGGATAACACCCGAGATAGCATTCCTGTAACCAGTAATATCTACTTCTGGTAGTTTGTAAAAGAACACACATAAATGGAGAGAGGGCAGAAGTTTGGGCGTTCGGCGCTACTTCGTACAAAAAAAAGGAAAAAAAGATTTATACTGACCCGAAGATTTGATGGCTGTCTTGGCAGTTAGAACGGCTACGGTCAGATTTCCGTGCTCAAGGGCTGTTACAGACTACAAAAAAAAGCGTTTGTAAAGAAAACGTTCAGTTATATTTGAATTTAGAAAAATGAAGATAAAGATAAAAGAGGTTAAAGCCCCCCCTCCCCCCCACCACCGGATATACGCCCCCTGTATATAAGCCCACCCAAAACCCCTTATGAAGTTATATAAGTCCAGGGCTTAACAAGGGATTTTACGATGTGGGGGTGTCTCCCCGGGTGTTTCTTGGTGTAGCGGAAACTCTTGAAAGTTAAGGTGATGTTACACTAGACGATTCGCAACGACCATTTTTAGCGCAACACAGCTTTGCAATATTGTTGCGACATTGTTTCGAATGCTTACAACATTGTTCCAACATTGCAACGATGTGTTGCGCTAAAAATCGTTCCGTCGAATCGTCCCGTGTAACATCACCTTTAGCTGCTGTGCATGGTGTGATGTGGGTATTGTTCAATGTCTTTTCAGTCATTTGCTGATTGCATCCGTCCTCAACAACCAAAAACCTACCACAAAAGGTGAAGATAAATGTTCACACTCATTAGGACTGAGTATAAAACCCCAATCTCCCTCGCAAGCAGGCGAGGGTTTCTTTTCTTGGCAGGGAGCAAGAGATTTGGAGGATGCAATGAATCAAGTGGCGGAAAAAGTAAATAAGAACAAAAAAGAAGACTACAAAGTTACGTTTTCGTAGCCAGTTAAAGAAAACCTTTTGCAAAGAGTTTTGAAAAATTTGACTTGCGCGCTTGGATTTTCCCCATGAGAGGAGCCTCTATTTAGGGGATATACTAGAGACCAGAAAAAGTGTTCCCCTAGTAGGGGTGTCCATTCAATAGAGGTGGCTGATACAAAGATTACACAGACGAGCCTTCGTTCAGGGGACTAACTCAGGATCAGCACATGTCTCCCCTAAATCGAGGAATCCCTTCAACAGTACTCACTAATACAAATAGAATTAATTTCCCTTTATTCGTGAACAAAATTTTGGTCCCTTGAATTAAAGTGTCCTCTGAATAGGGGTATCCCAAAGGAGAAGTTTCACCAAATTTTCCGATACGAGGGTACATAAAACCTTTGCGTTATAAAATTCTACAGTAAAATCATTATACGTTTCTGGGAAATTGCCAACTTACCTGTAAGCCAACATTAACACTTACTTCTCGCTTAGGGCAAAATGTTGACTCAGGGAAGGGGTGGGTGGGCAAATTCCCAGAAACGTATAATGATCCAAAACATTCAGGTGAATATGATAGGATATAAGTCACACCTGATGGACTGCATGAAGCGCCTGTTGAACTTGCTGTTGAATGTGATCATTAATCACCATGTTACTGATTTTTCCCAACAGCTGGGCGAGGGATGTTAGCGTGATGGTGGAGGTGGCAAGATATTCCATTGTTTTCTGTCTCATCACCGACTCCTGTTCCTGTGAGTACAGTAAAGCCTTAACCATAACTAGAGGCTAAGTTTAGACTAAGAGAAGTAATTTTTTTCTCAGTCCATCTGCGTGAGACACAAAAATGACCATGCGCGAGACGGAAGGCGCAAGACAGGGGAAGCTGCGACCCTCGTTTCCCCGGTCTCGTGGCTTCGACACTGGCGTGCGCGAGCAATTCCCTTGCTAAATCCGACAAAGAAGAGACTGCTTACAGTCTACGCTTAATTGTCCACATACAAATTCTCCAAACTGATATCCATACATTTTCTTACAAAATTAACTGAGAGAATTTAACAAAAATTCAAAGAATTTTCCCTTTGCTGATCATTTTATTAATTCTCATAACCTTATTTTTTGACAAAGAATGGAGATTGTTAGGAGAAAATTGATGGTGGTCACTCTTGGGAATTAAAGGGTTGACAAAGAAACAACTACATTTATGGTCATTACCCACTGTGTTATTCCAACATCTTTTGGGAATCTTACTTCAACGCCATCTACAAGTTTCTTTAAAAAAGGAAATAATGGTTAAAATAAAATTTATTGTATTCATTTGGAGCAAAACGAAATTGGAAAAAGAGGCAGCATAAATCGTTTTTAGAAATGAATAACCTATTACGGGCATGAATCAAAATGACATTTAGACAATCAGTTAGGTTGGATTATCTTAAGCTAGAAAGCCGAAGAGAATATTCAGTCGCATTTTTAATCTGTTTCAAAGACATGTGTATTTAGACTGATAGGAGACCTAAAACTCTAATATAAAAAGACTATAATCAAACTTATTGCTTTTTAAGAAACCTCCTCTTGTAGGCGATTTTGCCTCATCACGCAATGCTCCAAGACAAGACATTACAAGACAGGACAAAAACATTACAAGACAAGAACTAGGAGAAAAGACCTTACAAAACAAGACAAGACATGACAAGTTATGTCATGACATTACAAGACAAGACAAGACAAGACAAGTCATTACAAGACACGATGAGATGACACAAGATAGGAAATTACAAGACAAGACATTACAAGGCAAGGCAAGGCATTACAAGACAAGACACTTGACATTACATGAAATGACAAGACAAGAAAAGAAATACAAGATGAGACAAGACATTACAAGACAAGATAAATAAGATATTACAAGACATGAGAAGACATTACAAGACGAGACATGACAAGTTATTACAAGACATAACAAGAAAAGACAAGTCAAGATATTACAAGACCAGAGAAGACGACAAGAAATAACATTACAACACAAGACAACACAAGACAAGACATTGCAAGAAAAGACAAGACATGATAAGGAAAACAGGGGAACAGGGGTAAAACGAAAACAAGGGAAACCAGAGGAACAGAGGAACAAGGAAAACAGAGGAACGGGGAAACAGGGGAACAAGGGGAACAGGGGTAACAGGAGGAACATGGGGAAAAAGGGAAACAGGGGGGAAGGAAAACAAGGGAAACAGAGGAACAGGTGAACAAGGGGAACAAGAGGAACAGGGGGAACAAAAGGAACAGGGGAATAAAGGGAAAAGGGAAAAGGGAAAACAATGGGAACAGGGGGAAAAGGAAAACAAGGGAAACCGGGGAACAGGGGGGACAAGGGGAGCAGAGGGAACAAGGGAACAAGGGGTGCAGGGGGAGCAAGGAAACAGGGGAAGAGGGGGGACAAAGCAGCAGGGGAACAGGGGTATCAAGGGAACAGGGAAACAAGAGAGAAAGGGGAACGAGAGGAACAAGAGAACAAAACAACAAAGAAACAAGGGAAGAAGGAAACAAAGGAACAAGATAACAAAGGAATAAGGAACAAGGGAATTAAGGTTTAGGGAACAAAGGAACAAGACAAGACAATCATCATGAAGGACAATCCGTGAGCAGACAAAAATGGCCATGTGGGAGACTAGTTTTGGGGGTGTAAGCTGTGAAAAAGTATAAAAGTCAGTGAGAATGGAAAAAAGTTGAATTCTTACCACAGGCATAACTCCCAGTAACAACTTCAGTTGAGCCAGGAATGTGTTCATAACGGGATTCATATCAACCTCTATCCACTGTGGTCTGGTACTGTTCGTTAGTGCAGTCTGTTGAAGATTGCAAATCATGATTCCACCCCATTGTGGACTCAAGAATGCATTGCTACTGCTTTGCTGCCCTTGACAGATATAAAAAGAAAAGAGATCGGAGCTTAAAGTGGGGTGAAAGAAAAACTGGCTCAGAAAGACTAAGAAGTGTCAGGGAATCGAAAGGCATGGCATTGATAAGGGTCCCATGTACGTTCATCTTCTAGGAACCCTCAGGCAGGAAGCTGCAGCAGACGTAGGTGAGATTCTGTAACTAAAGGACTGGTATGAATAAAGGTTTAAGGTTAAACGTATGAGAAAGGCCTGCTACAGCTGCTGAGCTGAACAGAAGACTGCTTTAGTTGGATTTTGAAACCACTAGGGGATGTTCTCTGATGTCAACAGCAGGGCTGTGTATAAGACTAAAAATAAGACACTTTTGTAATAATTCAAACAAAAAGTTGAATAAACTGATCTTAAGTTTTATGTTTTGTTTTTAACTATTTAACAGCTATGTATATTAATCTCTCACCATCCTTGATTCTCATATAAAGAGGTGTTTGTCTCTGAGAAGGCACGTAAACAACAAAATTCAAGCTTGGATACAATGAAATATGTGAGCCTGTAAATGAACAAAATAATTTTTTCAATGAAAACTCATTATAATGGACAGGCGGTTACCTGGTAAAATTATTGAGGATTGCTTGATTGATTGATTGACTGACTGATTGATTAACATTGTATTTAAATATCATTAATTATTACTGATGATTGGTTGACTGATGATGATAGAGTGAGAATTCTTGTTTCAACGCTTCAACTATAATTAATACAGAACTGTCTGCATGTCAGAGTTAGCTACATTTCTGAGATGGGAAATGTGCTGTCGCACCTCTGGAATAGGTAGATTCTATTTATCCATGACGAGCTTTGAGGCGCGAAAAAATTTTATGTAAATTAGCTGGCTGCACATTCAATGTGCAGCCAGCTAATTTTATAAGTAATTCAAAACCAAGGTCTGACAGCTCTAGGCTCTTGAGGTGTCGGCTGAATACCCTAGGACTTCCGTAAATTGCCTACAAAAGAGTAACTCAAGCTACCATAAACTGAAACAAGGGCACCCAACGGCAATTTTCGGGAAAATATCTGTTCGGAAGACAATTTGAGATCTAGAATTTTCGGAGCATTTGTTGTAAAATTTCTTGCTTGCCTGCCTCTCCTAGGATTTTCGAACATCTACAAAATGGTATAATTACACATTTTTAACGGATTTTCACCCTAAAAAGGCCACCTAGAATTTTCGGGATCCCAGGTCTTCCTATGTTGTTAAACCATATCTTCAGGTTTTTTTCCAAGTGCCCCAATCATGGTAGGGATAATAGACACACCTCTGCAGTTCCAGATCTTTTGCGCTAAGTCCGGATAGTGGTCAATCTTATCCCATTTTTTTTTTCTTCTGTGAGTGTATCAAAGAAGCAAGCCACGTCGATATTGGAGTGTACCCTTCCCGCGACTCCTTAGGAGTAGGTGACACGTTTACTAATTTCCGTGTCAAAGGGACTACATGTTGCTTTAATAAGAGAGCTAATAAAGATTGTGGTAATAGCTGGAGCAATGTGATGTTCATAATCGGGCCAGAGCCAATAGGTGAGACCACCAGGGCCGGGTGAAAAGGCGAAAGTCTTTTTTTGGATCTATCAGTTCTGGTTTGTTAGAATTCCCACTACGCAAGAATTGGAAATGCGTTCTCCAGTAAAATGGCACGAAATTGAATTGGTGGGTCTTATCTATCCTCTCGTGAAATTCGCATTAAGTGGTATTACTATCAACAACTATTTCAAAAACGTTTGTCCCCTCTTATGAATCCAGTTCGAAGTCTACATTCTTGATATTTCTTTATTTCTTTTGTCTCTATTGCAATCATAACCATAGCAAACTGTTGTCTGAATCGCTGTTTATTGTCTGAATACAGATTCTGATGTGCATAGTCTAGCAGAACGCAGACATTTAAGTGTTGCCGACTTCTTGGATCTTTTTTAATTAGCATGGGGACGTACTTTGTTCTTGACAAGCTGAGCGTTCAGGCATACAAACATATCAGATAGCATATTCTATTGCATAAATGGATGATCAAGCCCTAAGGCAGAAATGATTGTATTAGTGTAGCAATCTGGTGGCTCCAAAATCCCGAGGGAAGGTACTTTCAACAACCTTTGCATATATTCGTACTCCGGAATACCGCACGACGAAATCGAACACACCTTTAGTATTGTTTCTTGCTATTTTAGTTGGAAGATGCAATTTTCAGTTTTGTTGTTCATTCAATTTATGTCCGAAAGGTTCTGAAATCAAGTGCGTTGATTTTTTGCCACCGATTTTTAGTAGAAAGACTACAGTTGTTCTTAGGCCCTTGATTGTTTAATCTAAGTACTCGTAAAATGGTATACTTACAACTATTCTTCCATATGGTCTAGCAGTAGGATCGACTTGTCTTAGAAGAAAATGGATGTACAGCTTTCTCAAAACCTACAAAAGCCGTCTGACAAGACGCGTTTAATGTCGGAGGTTTTTCACGTCTCATCGGCGGCCTCGGGTCCTTGGCTGTCAAGTCATACGTTATAACTCTCTGCAAAGATATTTTAACTTTCTTCTTACCGACTGAGCTGGAGACGATGAAGAAGCACGCACAATTTGCAACTGTTAACATACACTTTTATGCTAGAAACTTAAACTGTATAATAAGATTTAATAAGATTGGCCAAAACTGCGCCTATGATAGTACAATTTAAAGTTATTGTAGTATGGTCCATATGGTTTAGTAGCAGGTTCCGCCTGGCCTAAGAAAAGTCGAAGAAGACAACTGAGTGGAGAGTCTTCTCGAACTCCTCAGCGAAAACTTCTGAAATCAGACATATTTGATACGATAACGGTTTCGGCTGGAACACCAACTCGTCACAGGTTTCGTCCCGTATCATTCTGGCCATCGGTCCTTCAATCAAGTCATACTGATTTACACTCTCTCTTGTAACCGCGGTTCGCGTAGCTGTTTTAAAGGACGATACTATTTCTCGCCATTTTTCTTCATTTTCGTACAAGTTCAGTTTACGGGTTTTACTAAGATCGGTACGGTCGACTGCAAAGATTAAAATGGCTGGCTTCTCTGTTGTTTGTTTTGCCCAGTTAAGAGCATCTTCCATTTCAGTTGTTAAATAAAATCCCTTTCCACAACTGAAATCTCGCTTTTGTCGTCCAGCATTTAAGTATATTCCCCGAATCAAAATTTGTCGCGCACTTTGGTGGTCTGTGCCATGATAAAGAGCAATGTTTCTGTCGTCCTGTGGCATCAAGGCACTGACTGCTGTACTAGCTAGGCCATACGCATCGGATTCCTTGGTCACAAGGTTCATGATGTTGACGCTGGACAACTGGATGTTACTTTGCACCTCTTCTTTAGGTATGTTCGTTAGCGGAACCCACTTATTGGTGATACTGCTTTGAAAAGGAAATTTGGACATTCTTGTAGACAGCAGAGGATTATACTTAAATTCGTCTTTTATAAACATCTGTGCCCATTCACAAGCGTCAACGTGGTTTTCCCTGCTACCTGCCTGTGAGCGAGCCATTATGATTTCAATTGCTGAGCTGAAAGGGTCGAAACCGATACGCTCAAGCAAATCTTTAGTGAGCGAGTGTCTGACAGTTGAGTCAAGTTTTTCACTGTTCTCTTCCAGAAAGATCTTTATCCATTCTCTATCGTCTCGATGATCACGTTGTTCTGGTGGCATTTCTTCTAGGGGCTCGAGAAAATCGAGCTTGAGTCCAAGTAAAGAACTCAAGCGAGCTGTCTGACTTTGAAAGCGATCCCAATCCTTTTTCGTCATTTTGAATTTTGCCTTTTCTTTTTCTTCCCAAACTGTCCTTAAAGCCTCCTCAAGACGTTTCTTTTGTTGGAGACAATTTTGCTCTCGATTTTTGTAATATTCCTGGCGTATGGAGTGTTTATATTTATTCGTTGCGTCTTCGGCGTTGCGAGTGGCGCGCTCGAAATCTGTTAGCTCCTTGTACTTCGCGTTATTTTCATCTCTTAGCAATGCTATTCTTTGGCGCCAAAGCTTTAAGATGAATAAAAACTGTTCAAGAAGACCTAATACCTGTTCTGTGGTTACAGAAGAAGAGCCCACCAATACAATAGTCAGTATAATGTCCACGTTTTCTTCCTCATGTTCTAGTTTTGGCACTTTCTTTTGGAGAAATGTTTTCTCGGCAGAGGGACGCTGCTTCAACTGCAGTTGTGACGGTAGATTGTCACCCGCAGAAATCGATGCTAAACGAGAAGCCATTGTCGCCCGTTTTTACGTACCTTTTACAGTGTCGTTTTGGCATCGTTCAGTTCGTCGTCGCTTTTCAGATGCTCAAACTTTTATTCAAGTTTGGTGAATTATCTTTGAATTTAGCAGTGCGTTTAAATTTATAGCATCCAATCAGAAGCTGACATGTCATGTCACAAGTGACATATTTCTTTATCGGATCATCTGAAATGACCGACTGCGCAATGTAAAACAAAAGACGTGTTGACAACTCATAGAATACGATCCTCTCTAAATCATCACGACTGAATGTTTCATTTTATTTACAAGTCATCGTTTGACAGCTTAACCAAATTAATTAGAAATTTGATTCATTGCACTCAATGTAGACTACGAGTAGTCCTCCATTTTTCCTCAGGGATAGTAGAGCGAGCGAAACGCGAGCGCGCGTGAAAATCACCCCACGCGAGAAAAGGCGACACGCGTGTCGCCTTTTCTCGCGTGGGGTGATTTTCACGCGCGCTCGCGTTTCGCTCGCTCTACTATCCCTGAGGAAAAATGGAGGACTACTCGTAGTCTATCTTTCATGTTACGCTTACGCCAAATAGACCTAGTGCTTCATATAACAGTAATAGAATGTCCATTCTCCTGTATACCCATGTATACCCTGTATACCCATGTATACCTTGTATACCTTGTATACCCTGTATACCCTGTATACCCATGTATACCCATGTACTCCAAGTATACCCTGTATACCCTGTATACCCTGTTTACCCATGTATACCCATATACTCCCAGTATACCCTGTATACCTTGTATACCCTGTATACCCTGTATACCCATGTATACCCTGTATACCCTGTATACCCATGTATGCCCTGTATACCAATGTATACCTTGTATACCTTGTATACCCTGTATACCCTGTATACCCTGTATACCCATGTATACCCATGTACTCCCAGTATACCCTGTTTACCCTGTATACCCTGTATACCCTGTATACCCATGTACTCCCAGTATACCCTGTATACCCTGTATACCCATGTATACCCATGTACTCCCAGTATACCCTGTATACCCTGTATACCCTGTATACCCTGTATACCCATGTATACCCTGTATACCCTGTATACCCATGTATACCCTGTATACCCTGTATACCCATGTATACCCTGTATACCCATGTATACCTTGTATACTCATGTATACCCTGTATACTCATGTATACCTTGTATACCCTGTATACCCATGTATACCTTGTATACTCATGTATACCCTGTATACCCATGTATACCCTGTATACCCTGTATACCCATGTATACCCATGTACTCCCAGTATACCCTGTATACCCTGTATACCCATGTAATCCCAGTATACCCTGTATACCCTGTATACCCATGTATACCCTGTATACCCATGTATACCTTGTATACTCATGTATACCCTGTATACTCATGTATACCTTGTATACCCTGTATACCCATGTATACCTTGTATACTCATGTATACCCTGTATACCCATGTATACCCTGTATACCCTGTATACCCATGTATACCCATGTACTCCCAGTATACCCTGTATACCCTGTATACCCATGTAATCCCAGTATACCCTGTATACCCTGTATACCCATGTATACCCGCCATGTATACCCTGTATACCCTGTATACCCTGTATACCCATGTATACCCTGTATACCCTGTATACCCATGTATACCCTGTATACCCATGTATACCTTGTATACCTTGTAT